AAAACCCACCCCCCCCCCCCCAAAAAAAAAAAAAAAAAAAAAAAAAAAAAAAAAACAAAACAACACACACAAAAAAAAAACAACAAACAAACAAACCCGTATGACCAAACTTCCGTTGAGAATTTTCCATCGACCAAATTTCTTTCAAATTGCGGCCGGTTCTCGACTTCCCGAAAACAAAATGTAGGCAAACGCAGTCTCAAAAGGTTGTACATCACTGGCATACCGATAGTTGTCTCGCACCCTTCCTTTAACTAAATATCACCCCCACACACATTAAAAAAAAAGTAGTAATTAATTTCATTAAGAGAAAAAAGATGTATGCCATCTTGTATTATTTAGTCAACATATTGTTTTGGAATTACACAGAAGAGGCTAGGCTTGATTTTAGAGGGAAAACAATGATGACTTAATATATAGTAAAATGTTAATGAAGAAAATTTAAAATATAGAATGATAATCAATGTCTCCCCTGTTCTTAAAATAACTTTCCCCAACACCCATTGGTGCGAGAACACTACGTTGGTAAAGTCTCTATTACAATTATAGCAACCAAAGACGGCTTTGCAAATTTCTTCACTAGAGGGCGCAACTACTTGCCTTTGTCTTGTAATTGCCATATTGGCCAGCTATATTTTAAAGTGAAATGTATTTATAAAATGTTGACCGTAACTTAACTTAAGATGAAAATGATAACTAAATATGAATTTAATGTTAGAATCACAAGCATAACTTTTAAATATATATGCTATTGGACTTCTCTGATGTGATGTTGTATTGGGATAATATGCATATTTAAATAAGATAATTATAATAACATTTAAAAAAGATTTGAGAAATTGATGAAAGAAATGGATGGATATAGTTTAAACTTCGATTAGATATTATTTTAATCCTGAACACCACTAAGCTGATAATTAAATCTCTTAATTAAAGCTTCCAAATTAGCTGTCTTCAATATTTCATATTGAAAAAAGTTTTTAAAGCAATGTGAAAGGATGCATTTGCCATATTATTTAGGGCAATTAGCAAGCTTAAATTATGAAAAGGTAAATTGTCTTTAATAAAACTGTACCTTTTCAAAAACATGTTAGTTTTGTGTAATTACGATTTAATTTAAAAAAAGATTTGACAGACATTTGGTGCATCACCTGGCATTACCACCGCCATTTTGAAACGCGTGCGAAGCTAACACCCTTTGTTGCCTCACTTTAGTATTCTGCGTCACTTGTAGAACTGTTCACTATTATTTGCCAAAATGTCTACTGAAAAAGGGTACGTCAAAACCAATTTTATTTAAATTAACATTTTAACAATGAATTAATTTACTATTTAGGCTCCGCACAAATTTAAGATAGGAGGGTTTAAAAATAAAAAGGAAGGTTATTTTATTTGTGACGTAGGGCCAGAGCCTTGTTAAGTAGCGACATAATTTAATGCATTGAGTGTACATTAGTGGAACGCTTATTTGAGATACAAAATTGCAATAGCTTGTACTAGTTTATGGTTTGAAATGGATGCTTCACTTCAATTTGACTTGTCCATAGTCACTCAGTAGTCAGTAGTCTCACAGATTCAGATTGAGATAGGTTTTGAGTAGGTACTGTTAGAAAAACAATTGCCTGGGACTATTTGCACCCGGGTTCCAGAACAGAGACGTTGGGATTAAAAATCTATTAAAAATATTATTGTTCGGTTTGTAAGACAAAATGAGGTATCAAAAGAAAGATGATTGAATGGACTATATGTATGTAAACTTAATTCTTAAAATTTAACTAAAATAAACTGCCACAAATGACAGATTGGCATTTGGTCAAAGTGTACCCGGCCATGCAACCATGCCATGCAACCCTGCCATTCGGACACGGGTCCCATTAGACTCTATACCATTTGGATGTCATTTTGGACCTTGGTATCCACGAGAAATACCCGAAAAATGGGTATCGTAACTTCGTTTTCAAAATGGCTACCTCCACTTTTTAATTTACTGAGGGTATTGTTGCTTCGCCTTTTATGGTCAATATTCATAATAAATTCTACATCCGCCAAATACTTAAAGCCGACATCTTGCGTTGTATAGAGTTCGTTTGATTTTTTTTTTTCAAGGCTAAAGCTTTGAAAATTGAAGTTAAAAATAGGGAAACTTCACACATCAATAACTTTAAAAAAAAAAGGTTTCTTTAAAATAAAAAGGGTTTCTTCAAGTTATACTTTATAGGGTCATTTATAACATATCCAAAATTCATGAGTGTAGATAGATACTTTGGTCAAAAATGTAAACATTTTTTAAAAATAAACCAATGGCACAGTTGAATAGAGCAAATTTTAAACATAATTATAACACCAAAATCATATTTTTAGCTGTTGTAGTTTTAAAGTTATGAATTTTTAAAGTACGACTTGGTTTGTCATTTTTTAACATAGACTGCATCTCCACATTCTGTGACCTCATTCCACTGATCGCGTCATGCGCAATGACTATATAGTTTATATAAGGCAATGCATTCCCTTATCACTAAAATACTGTTTAGGGTCGACTTATTTTAAACTTTCAACTTTGGCACATGAATAATTAATAAAAGCTTTCCCTGACCAATGGTTTAATAGCTTTTGCACACGGCAAACTCTTATGAATGAAACTCTGAGATAGTACTACAACGTAGCCGTTATGCAAGTGGCTGTGAATGGTTGCCAATGACAACGTGTTGCACAGGGAAAATTCTGATCATTTATATTATGGACTCTGCAGGGTTTTTAAAGCTCAAATTAAAACATTTCCAGTTTAAATGTCTTCAAAATGCATTCTGAAACACAAAATATAAAATATTTTGATGTATATAGTGGTAATAATTAAATATTTCCTAAGTATCGGCAACTTCCGCCATTAAAAAGGGGGCGTGGCCCACGCCATGTCGAAATTAGGCTGAGCCACCTTATGGTGATATGGGTCACTGTGACAAGTGTAACAAACGTGAGACACGACCTACATCAATGAAACTTGGCACAGATATAGATCAATATCTAATGCTCATACAGATTTAATAAAAAAGGACCTTATCTTATTATTTCACAAAAAATTTTGTATGCGAAGATGCCTTATATATACCAAAGATTTTCAAAATAAAGGTCGATTGAAAAAAGCAAAATAGCTGGCTAGAAATGTAGGCCAAGATGTCTTCCAAATTATAAGGCCGGAAACGGAACTCAAATATATGTGGAAAGAACTAATTTAATAATAAATAGACACACACATCGGAAAATTAAAAACTCGGATTTTTCGGCGCCGACGCCCATTTCCGATACAAAAAAAATAGTAGTCTCCCTTCTTTCATCGAAGTATCTAGTGTAGACCATCGGCAGGCTTCAAAAACGAAAATCTAAGAGGTCATGTTTTTTAGGCTATGTAATTTGTCATCATGGCCACCATGCTTGTCTGCTTATTTGATAGCAGCCGTGGGGTAGTTAATGATTCATTATATTTGTTTTACAGAATATAATAATAATTGGGAAATATAACTATTAATAAATAATTGAGGGTTGTTTACCTTGGGCCATGGACTTGGGATTGATAACCACTTGTATTTGATTTTGATTTAGAACAGGCTTAGTTGAAATATATTATAATAATAGTAATGATTTGGTGAGTGGGATAAATGGCTTAATAAATAATACATTATATTATTTTATATATTATATCAATACATATAGGGCTACAGCCTATATTATATGAAGTGTCTACAAGTCCGGCGCCGGACAAATAGTGCGCAAGATATACGTCCGGCGGCATGTCACGTGACCGCCGGACGGCTAGTAGTTTTTATAATTCCGAAAGAAGTGCAGTTTGGTAGATCTTGTGTGGTCTACTGGTAGAGTGGTCGCTTGACGATATTATGATTTGAGGATCAATACCGGGGATAGGATCTTTTTTTTTTTCTTCCCATTTTAATTAAAATTATTTTATACTATATTCGAAGGGTGGGCCAATAAAAGTGAGAACATCTCGTAAAATATTACGCAACGCAATGTTCTCACTTTAATTGGCCCACCCTGTATATTAATGTTCATCAGCGACAGTAGTTTTATGAGAAGTTTTTAAATATTTTGTAGCAATTTAAACAATTTAAAATGAAATCTTTTACTTTTATTGGTTGCCTACTCCACACTGGCCCCTAATTAATTTTATGGGTTACTGGTACACAAACTCAAATAACAAACTAAACAAAAATGTTAACATGCCACTTTCACTTTTTTTCTATTATTTGCATTCAAGATACTCAGTACATTACTTGGTAGAGATATAGGTTTTAAAATTAATAATAATTGAAGCAGTCAACGGGACAAGGCTGACCGACAAGATATCTCTCACCACTTTGTTATGGCAGTCATGTGACTTGCTTGCTGGACAAATAGTGCGGGAGACATGTCCGCTACCTATATTATATATATATATATATATATATCTTTATATGTATATATATATATTTATTTAATATATATTATATAGTCCTATAAGCTTTGAATAATATATAGTATAGGCCTAACTCCAACCAAATTTATTATTTGTAGGGCTTATTGTAAAAAAGTATGTAATGAAATTTTACACTATATCATCATGATTTTGAAGGCATAAAATAAGTAAAAATTTAAATTATATTCACTTACCTTGGTATCGAAATATCCTTTATTTAATCACATATCACAAATATTCCACAAGTGAATTATTGTATAATCCTAATTATTTGCAAAGAAAAAACTCACTTTCTGCCACAATAATCAAGGATTTCTTACGATATTATTAAAGAACAATAATACAAACTTGTACTTACCTCAAGCAAATGACTCGAAATTATTTTAATTTTTATCAACCGCAAAAGTTGATTCTTAAAATTCATGTTGATTTGTGAAACAACATATTACTAACTTAAAATAAATGACATACTAATTTTTGTCATATTCAAGGACTAAAATACATAATAGAAAATGGTAAAATAAAGTGTAATCGTAAATTTTAACTAAATGAAACAAATAATCCTTTTATTTGTTTATACTTATAAATGTTAAACAATTCCACTGAATTCCATTGACACAAATACACTTCCATAGATATACAGAATAAGACTTTTTTTAAAGACTTAAAAGTTGAACTTCTATATAAATTTTATAGTGAAAGATGCCTTATATTTAAAGGGGAATCTCAAAATACAGGTCGATTAAAAATTAAAACAAATCAATGTAAATGTAGGCCAAGATGTCTGCCTAATTATAAGGCTGGAAACAGAACTCAAATATATTGCGAAAGTACTCATTTAATAATAAATAGACACACACATCGGAAAATAAAAACTCTGATTTTTCGGCGACTATTTCTATTTCCGATACACAAAAAAAGTATTCACCCTCTCATTGTCATAAACTTCTTTAGGGTGTAGGGTACTTCAGGATTCTTGAGTAGACTGCAGACATGGCATTATATTTTAGTTCTCATTGACAAAGAATGGAAGTCAGAATCTTTGTATTAGATGTGTTGTAGCCGAATGCATCTGGGCTGATGTAGTTACGGTTATTGAATAATAGACCATGAACAGAATGCAAGTCTTTTGATACTTGTTTGGCTGTATTCTTATCCTATAGCCAATGTTCTTTTGTTTGTGTAAAGTCCAATACTGATCATGTAACCCACTGCAGGCCTAACTTGCTTAATTGAAGCAATGTTGTAATGAAATCAGTGCTGGCAGTGATACCCGTAGAAATTAAATGCATGTTCAAATGGTCACATACAACAGATGTGTTGTGATATGTGTTAAATAGCTCTTTGACAATAAGGCACTCTTTGAATAGAATCTATTATGAGAGCATGTTCAGGAAAGGCAGCTACAGGCATTACTCTTCGAAAGGTAAATGGAATCCTCGAAGGGACGAAGACAATCTTGACTGCTCTTCAATGGTATGATCCTTTACTTTCCAGTCTTTAGGTTCAAGGAGATGCCAACAGATAATCTAGAGATGATGAAAAAATAGTATGGCTATACTATAATTAGTTCTAGAAATAAAAAGTAAAAATTCTAGGATTTTGTTCCGAGTTGATGTGATTCAAAATAATTTTTACACTTTCTAACGATAGTCATATCATAAATAAAATTCATTTAAAAATATTTAGGCAGAGAAAGTAAAGTTGCATAGTCCAGAGATGCTATATATTTTATTAGGATTCATTTCTAAAACAATATATTTAACGCTTACTGTGGAGCACGTGCATAGGACTATGTTTCGTTTAGTTAGGACTAGAGAGATAATTCCAGCACAGCATGGAACTATTGCAATAATTATGTAAACAAGAAAAATAATGTTTAATAATAAGTGGATTTTTTATTTATTATAAAAATGCTCAAATCAACTTACCATCAATGATTTCTTGTGTTAATTTCGAGTCCATCAATTAAAATTGATAATAAGTTCTTTGAAAAATAACATAAATTTTCAGACCCAAATATGTATATGTAGCGCTGTACTACGTGTAACTAAGGGCTAAAAAGACAAGCTTTGGCTTCGTTGGTTTTATTTTCCTGAAAATGTAGGCTTACCATATCACTTATAAATATTTAACAAATTTAAAATATATTTAAAAAAAAACCAACCCTTTACAGAAAAGTATACATTAGAGGTTAATCTAGCAGAAAACCCTGTAATCTCATTTTGGAAAAAAATAACCAAACTATCGATTTTTTTTTTCACCTGTGGACCACCTTAAATGGAGGGAGACCTAAATTTGTGCTAAAAGGACACCTGTATTATAATACATGCATATAAAAAAATAAAAAACTCGGATTCTATTTGGCCGACGCCCATTTCAGATACATATTTTCTAGGAGTGTCCCTTGCTTCAGCAAAGTGCCTTATTAGGCAATTAGTAATTACTGATTTAAAGTTTTTTTTAATGACATGCTGCATATTTATTTTAGGGCATGCGGGTGGCTTATGATTATGCAGACACAAAAATCAGAGCAGACACATAATATAATCTATGAACGCTCTCATTTGGTTCATCAATAACATTTTGTCTCAAATGATACTGGTGTCCACACGCATAATGTTGAAATTATGTGGATGTGCGCTAAGACAGTATGGCACACGCTGCTATCTTCTCCCTTCTAAATATTTGCAAGAGTTCATGTCCCGCAAATGTATTTGTGGGTATATTTTGTAAAACTTCAGTGGGGGAACTTTGTATAAACTAGTTTTTTTTCATACATGAAGTAAGATAATGTTGGTTTGCCGCACCACTCGTTTCCCCACAGCCTCCATCTTGGTTAACATAACTGCAAACACTGCTAAAATGGAGGGAGGGGGAAGAGAAAAAATTAAGTTTTTAGTTGCTTACCAAGAGAAAGGAAAACGAAGGAAATGTTTAAATTTAATGAAATAATTCCTTCCGAACATAAATTTTGTGGCGAATATAGCAACTTTATTGTATCCCTATAGTGTTTTATGTGGCAAGAATTGTCAAACGACCTGGGGTTGCCCACTTTCCTGGCTTTATTTTAGCCGGTAGTTAGTGTAAACAAGAAGAAAAACAATACGAAATGCATAACATAATCAAAACCTAACTTAGTTTCATGTAAAACAATTTTTTATTGCAGGTTCAACCAAAAATAAAATCCAAAAGTTGTTAAAAAATTAAATACATAATGCCCGAATTTTTAAATATTACCACCCAATTAAGTTATAATTTAAAACATTGGCATATTAATAGTAAAGAAAACAACATTCCACAAATAAACATAGGGGGTGAATCCTACACAAACTGGGGCACCGAACCATTAGCCTTCACTTCTTACTTGGGCTGAAATGAATATGTACTTTGCTTTTTTTAAACCATTTACCTAGATCTAACTAAATTTCATCTTATCAATAAAAGATTGAAAACGTTTTAAAAGTACTCCAAACCACAACTTGATTTTTTAAACACTTGATTATTCATCACTCCTTTCTCATTTGTCAACAAAATGATGCGTCCCCCTGAGTCTTCAGATTTCTTAATTTTAATAAAGTAAGCCAGAAGTTCTTATCGTAGTTCACTTTCAATCTTTGAGTGCTTTTGGTTTATGAATTGTTACAGAGAACTTGTTTACATCATATTTCTTGTGCGTGACCTCTGATTGACCCCGCATGAGACGCTGTGTTCACAAAGGGGCGTGGCTTAGGCCTTTGAAGTATCCTTGTATACACCGCCAGCCACTAAAAATAATTAATCTGTTCCAAATAGTATTTGGTAGAATGATTGGGATTTTTCTCGAAATGTCTCGAAGGCAGGGCTTGGGCGTCGGTAGACCCACCTATATAAGGGATTGACAGGCACGGACGAGGGACGGAGATTTTCATATACATTCTCTTAACATTACGAGGCGTGTTTTATTCTTTGTGTATTTGTGTGCTCCTACTTATGTGTTTATTTCGCATTATTTATTGGCATCGTTATTTCTAATTGTATTAACTGTGTACCAGTACGACATCTGCCATACTGTAAGTTGAAGATTGTAATTATATTTTTATTTTATTTTGTAATTATCTTAAGACATAATAAATCTTAATTAATTGTAACTAGTAACTGTTTTGGGTCGTATCTATAATATTGTTGATTATATGGTATCGTCCTTTGTTAGGCACTGTTTACAACGAGCCAATTAAAATTAAAATAGGAGATTACTTTCTCCCAATACAAGTCAGTGCGTAACAGAATGCTTTTGGCTTAGTGCGGTGCATCTTTTATTAAGTCTGTTAGTTTTGCGTGTTATTGCAAGATCCTCTAATTCAAGTCTGTATTCCAGTACATCAGTTTTCAACTTACAAGTTGTAACATACAACATATAGGTTTTTCAGCACCCCCGTGCCATGACTACATTTCCAAAATACTTTCTGTCTCTTGTGACCTGGGTATTAGCTCTGTGGGTCGACCTTTTCCAGAGCAGGTGTTTTTTTAAAATGTTGACAGCCCAACTGAAATCAAATTATTTAAATTTGTTTTTGTGTTTGAAGTAGGTGCTTGATTGTATTGTCTTTCACTTTCAAGTCTAAAAATATCTTGTTCCACTATTTATTTAAAAAAGGAGCTAAGTAACTAGTAAAATTTAGGGGTAAAGAACAAGTTTTGTCTTTATAAATGATTACACCTGGTTTTCTAAACAAAATTCCACCTTAGTGTGGATGCACCTTTTGACAAATAAATGCAATATATTTTTTAGGGTAAGAAACAAAAATTGAGACTTATTTGACTTTCTCCATTTTAAAACATTTAAAATTAAACGTCATTTTAGGTTGCATCATTTACCTATGCTTTTTCATCTTTCAAATTTAAACCATGACTTAACAAATTTGCTTCTTTTTAAACCTTATGCCTCTTAAAGCCTTTCAATAAGATTGCTATCACATTTTACTATTTTTTATATTTATTGATTGACCTTTCTTGAATTGTAAATTACACTTTTTTTTTCAACAGAAAAATATTTGTCGGTGGATTGAGCTGGGACACTGATAAAGGTTAATTATTTAAATTAGTAACCTTTTGAATTGTTTTGTTAAATGATTATACTTTATTTACCGTATAATAGCTTATTTCAATATGCAATTTTTTGACATGCCCAAATTTCTCAGAGTGTATTGTTGCTGTACAAGTTGCACAGGGCTCATTTGCTCTTCTCATCATAATTGCTTTAAAACTGGATAGGGGCTTTAAAGTTTAACTATGAAATTTCTTTGCGAAATTGTGATATATAATCATTCAAATTTGATCCCTTGGCTTTTGAACAGATGAAATTAGAATAGTTAATATTTATTGTTTCTTCATTCGGTCAACAGATGCTCTGCAAGCTTATTTTTCACAATATGGAGAAGTCACGGATTGTGTTGTTATGAATAACCCACAAACAGGAAAATCAAGAGGATTTGGTTTTGTTACATTCAAGGACCCTTCTGCTGTTGATGTTATACTGGCAACTGCTAAACATACTATAGATGGCAGAAATGTATGTAATTCTTTTTTTACACTTGTATACAGGGTTGAGGAGATTTAAATTGGTCTGATAAAAATGATTAAGATTTTAAGACATTGAATTTTTACCGGGATATTTATCTAATCTTTTTATATATTTAAAATGCATTTTCTAGAAGACCTGTTTGTTTTTATATAATAATAGTCGCATATATTTCTCATACTTTGTTCCGACTTGCAAAAGCAGGAAAATTAGTTTTTCTGTTCAAAATATTTAATTGAAAGGCTTTATTTGAATCGAATGGTATATTTTGACACTAAATAAATCATTATGAAAATATTTAAATAAATTTCTGTAAAAGTTAAAGCAATCCTGCAGAAAATGAGTCTAAAAAATTAATATACCAGTACTTGAACATCCTTTTAAAAAAATTACTTTTAAATTTGAAAATCAGATTAAATCAATTTTATTTATTTTGATCCTGATATTTCTGAAAATATTTGTCAGTACTTCCTTTTCTTTTATTTTATTTAATGTTTAGAATTCATAGCATATCGATGTAGTTTCAGAGTTATAAAAGTTATTTTTTATTAAAAATAGTACTAAATTCTTTTTATCAGTTACATAATTACAATATTATTACACCTGGATCACTATTTGTCTATATTACACCTGGATCACTATTTGTCTAAGCTTACATAAGTTAGCAGGTGTGGCATGTTTCATAGTGCAAATCGACAAATGAAAAGCTATTCGAGGGCCGCATATATATTTTGCCATATTAGCATTACAGCACAAAGGTCAAGGACTGTTGGCAAAAATAGAAAATTGGCAAGAAATATTAATGAAGCGGTACATGAAATTGCGTAAAATTCAATAAGATAACTAGATAAACTAGTCATTTTTTAAATTTCTTTATGCATTGGGGGCAGCATAACATCAGTTGCCGGGCCGTATGTGGCCAGTGGCCCGTAGTTCTGAGTTAAAGGATAATATTTGCAGGACTGCTGTCAAATTTAAATAGTGGTACAAGATATGTTGAGGCTTCAATGTAAATGACATGACAGTTGAGAAGTTATTTTCTTAGTAATAAGTATTTAGTTTATTTTAATCTCTAATATTTATAAGGGGTTCCTATTCATTTTGATGATTATTACTTTTTTATTGAATAGGTTGATGCAAAAGCCTGCAGTGCTAGGGGAGCTGGTGGTGGTAGTGGCACCAATGGTGGCCGGGTAAGTTTGTAAATAAGATTCTAAGACGTGTCTTCACCTGTTTCAGTGTGGAAGGGATTTCAGACCCGTTTCCTCGGCATATGATTTTGAGGTGTCTTTTACGATGGTATGCAGACTTGTCACAACTATGATTTTAAGAAAAACCATAAATTCATGTAGTTTTTTAAAAAGTACATTTTCGGTTGTCAGTTTTAACCTGCTCTCTTCATCCAGCAGTACGAATGGTTGACAAAATATTATGTTTGCCCTGAGAAATGAAGGCGGTGGTGTTGATTTGGGATATTTTGTGTACGGCTGTGCCGGGAAGTGGGGGGGGTCTAAATATTTAAGTCTATAAAATTAGCTTCCACATTTTCGTAATGATAGTGGTGATTGTAATATTTATGCTTTGTCTTTTTCTTAACTTGCTAGACACATCAACTGTAATATTAGCATAGTTGCCAATTTTAGTCAGTCCTCGCTTGTGTTTTCTTGCTGTATGATGGAATTTTTGGACATAATTTTTCATTCGGCAAACCAACACACTCTTCCTATTTCAATTAGACAATAATATATTTGTGGGAATGGGCTAATGAATATTGGTTCTTTTTCTTTTTTGAAAACCAGGTCCTTTATTAAAATTTTAAGTTACTTAGTAGGTTTTTAGAATTTCAATAAAATAATATCTGTAGCAAGTACGCATCTGTAAGCAGAGTGCCTGCAGATTGAAATATGTCGATCATCTATTTTAACACCAGCTTTGACGATTCCACTAGGCACTGCGATGAGAGTAGTTATTGGTATTTATTATATATATTGCGTGTTTATTTGCATGCTTATTCATATACTAAGTTTCTGTGTTGTACGTTTTAAGAGTTCGAGGGTGAACAGGTCTGCATTTGAAATACATATTTTATGTTTTAAGAAAAGGTGGTTGAATAATTAAGGAGATGTGTTGACTTGCCCAGTATTCTTATTCTAAAATACTTATTTACTCTTTAAGCTTTGATTTTAGATAACCAAATTTTTGTTACAATTTTAGGCTGGTGGCCGTGGAGCTGGCGGTGGATATACAGGCAGAACTACAAAAATTTTTGTTGGTGGTTTGCCCAATGATGCTAATAGTGATAATCTCAAAAGTTACTTTGCAAGGTTTGGCGAGGTAGGTATAGAAATGCTAATAAATATGTTGTTACAAGGTTTTTATTTTGTTACCAGAGGTCGCAAGATTTAACTTTTTATATATAAATTGGATTGTTAAAAAAAGCTGCATAACATTGCACCAGAGGAGGGCTATTTGAAAACTGATATTAAAGCTAGTGTTAATAAAATGTATAATTTTAGCCCTTAGTGTACCAGGCTTGTCTTTTTGCAATGACCTACTTTTTGTTCTGAAACTATTATGGAGCTTTAATTGGGATTAGATGATTCAGATGCTGATGAGGAAGAGGGGGATGAAATTGTTGAAGGAAATAGGCCTGCTATTGCTCAAAGTTTACACCTACAGGAACCTGTAGGTTTCACATGTTTTAGACTAGTGTCAACGTAGATATTGATTTATTTAGATCGACTGGACACTGTGCTAGCCAGAAAATCCCCTTGTGTGCCATTGGCAATGAAAAGTTTACAAAACACATTAGTATTTTTAACACTCTTATCCATTCACCCGTATCCATTTCTGAACAGATAATTCTCTACATGTTATCAATTGTTTAAAGCAAAAAGGTTTAAAAATTTGCAAACCTATCAAATTTTGGCTTGTTCCAAAATAATGTCTGGGCCACAGGGAATAATTAGCAAAATAATCTGAGGCTATATATATAGCAAAAAAGTAGATATGTCCTGTAAGGGTTAAAATTTTTAAGCCAAAAACCATCTTCAGCTGCAAAACACTTGTTATATGTATGCGTGTAGTGTCTAAAATGCACTGATTGCGGAACAATGTGGATTTTAATATCTTAGCACATCATTCCATAAGAATTCTTAAGGTCTCATGTTTGAAGGTCTGTAAGCAAACTCCCTACTTTTGACAGTACCCATTCTCCACTGCAAGAAAAGGGTGAGAGGTCAAACAAAAAAAAAAAAAAAAAAAACGTGAGAGGTAAAACAAAAAAAAAAAAAAAAGAACTGGTGAACTAAAAATAAAATAAAAAAATTCACACAAATGGCTATAGCAGTATGTTTAGATGTTGATTGAAAGTGTGTGTTTCTTTGGATTTTTTTATATGTGGCATAATAATTCTGCAGGTTCTTGATGTAGTGATTATGTATGATGAAGAGAAGACCAGACCGAGGGGTGAGTTTTTTACATCTAAAATTAAATTTAATGTAGTTATTTGAAGAGTTGACCTATATTTACACTTGTGATCTTTTTCTTTGTGATCAGTTCCAAATTAACATCCAATGGTCTTTAGATTCTGTCAAATTGTTGTGGGTGTCCTTAGCTTTTAGTCCAGTCTCTTAGACATTTATTTTCTCCATTAATAGATTGGTAATTGACTCCTGTATAGTATGCAATTCAAAAGTGTTTATTTAAAATTAATTTATTACAAAATATGATATAGTTTAATTAACATATTGGATATTTCATAAGCTTCTAATCACTTGTGTGGGGTTTTTGTGTCCATGGGTTTATTAGTAAGTTTTGTAGGTTTTAAAGGTTTCTGGCTTAAACAAGGGAATAAAGATGTCTTCATTAGCAGATTCATTTCTTTAGGTTTTTGCAAGGACTGTTGACACTACTTTAATTATCTCTTATCATGAAGTTCCTTGATAGTAATTTTTTAAAAACATCTTTTTGCATTAGTGTATTATGTTTATATAATTTATGTTTAGTAAAAAGCTAACTTAATAGGTGACATCTTCTTGTGAAATTCGTTTTGAAATGTTCAAACATTTTTAGGTGACTTAATTATCTCATTACTTCTTAAGGTAGTTTTTGCAATATTATCTCATTTATCTTTAAGGCAGTGTTCTTTTCTTCCTTCAAAAGATGGTGTATTAAATTAATGTTAGTATTTTCATAGAAACAAGTTCTTTTTAGTAATACCTCTATCATGAAGTTAGCAGGAATTATGGATTCAATGTATTTCTTCACATTACTCTGTATCTCAGAAGTTTGACATAGTTATTATGTTAATTTATTTTTAATAGCGGTGGAAGTACATTTTAAGGACTTACAGTTTAACCTTAAGTTGCATGCAGTTTGATGTGTTACAAATTTTTCGAAGGATTTGTTGATTTATAGACTTAGACATTTTTAAAATTTTGATAATAATTTATTTAAAGTAAATGATTTTTTTTTAAAATAAATTTTTTGTTATTGGATCAATTCTTGTAAGTTTTAGACAAATATTTTGTGGCTTGTTTTTTTTAAAAACCATTTAGTAAAAATGTTTTATTGAATTTTCATAAATGATGTCCACAATTATTTAGTCATAGAATTTACATAATTTTTTTACATTTTTAAAAAAATGTCTGTATTAGTTTTAGTTGTTTTAAGGATAAAATCAAAGAGTTGAATGAGTGATTAGTATTTGACACTTGTCTAGATAATTCTAAATTGTCATGCATAGTTCAACACCTTAATTGACACAAACTAATAATTTTTGTATAATTTTTGTTCTTCTGATCTCTCAATGCGACTTCTCTTCATGTGGTTTCAGAGCTCTTTTTAAAAGAAATTTCCATTGTTTGTTACTGTTCAGCGAGTTTCTTTGGGTCCAAACATTTGTAAATCTTGCATAATAGCCAACGCTTCAGTTATTCAACAGTTTTTACAGCCCTTTAACACTACTGTATTACAGATCATATCATTTACATTTCATGCAAGCAGTGTTTCCAGTTTCTCAAGAGTGGAGATCTGTGTCTCGTTTTTAAAAAAGAATGTCACAATTTTTGCTGTGGTCTTTATCTGGCTCTGAATTATTTTGCCTATTAGTTCATGTATATCCCAGCACCAAATAACACTCTTCCAAGACATTAACATTTAATAACAAAACATGCACTTTTCAATCTGATGACCACTTTATTCAATGACAATTTTACAGAACAAAACAAACTCTAGCATGTTTAGCTCACCTTGCAAATGTTATTTCTCTTCTGGTTATGTTACCCGTAGGCTTTGGATTTTTGACCTTCGACAGTGAAGATGCAGTTGAGGCAGCAGTTAAAGAGCACTTTATGGACTTCAATGGAAAAAAGGTTAAATGAGTCTCTTTGGTATCTCGTTCATGACTTAGTCGTTGCTAAGTGATGACTCCTTGGTTTGGTTAAGAAGATGGCTTTGCAATTTTTTTCCTAGAGATCATCAAGACGATGCAACTGGTGGACCACAGTTTAATTATTTTAATTTAAAAATTAAGTTATAATTATTTTTTAAGTTAGCAGTTTTGTGACCGGTTTAGTGACTGCACTTACATTAAGTACCATTGTTTTAATTTTTAAAAAATTAAATGAGTTAGAATTTCACCGAATTGTATACATTTTTTTAGTATACGGTTTAAGTAGTCTGGAACACAGTTTTTGTGTTTCCCATACTTGTGAATTTGTAAATTTGTATGTTTAATTTTAAGCTTGTGATAGCTTTTTTAAGCCTTGCTAAATTTATGAAAGTTAACTAAGACTGATTTAAAAGGTGTTAAAAGTATTTTTAAGTGTGATGTAAGTCGTGCAGGCATCTTAACAACAACTGCTTATAATTAGTGCAACATAATATACTTCAAATTACAAGTATCAAATTTATGCTAAAATTTTTATATTTTTTTTTGGTTAAAATTTTAGTTTGCCATCACATGTTTGTCACTTCTTAATCAAGATACCAACCTCGTCTCTTAATTTTAACTGGTGGTGAATGTTTTAAATTTATAAGGGGTAATTATTGTTGAATACCTTCATCTTTTTGGGTGTCAACCTGTGGTATTGTTATTGTGCAACTAATGTTTAATTGGTATGGTAGTGTTTCTTGCTGAAACGAATTATTGTCTCTGCCTTGGGTTTCAAATTTTAATTAATTAATGTTATCAATTTATTTATTATTTGCTCTTAGATTGAGTGCAAACGTGCAGAACCTCGCCAGGGAGGTGGTGGTGGCAGAGGAGGAAAACAAATGCATAACAATTATAACGGTGACCAAAGTTGGGGAGGAATGGGTGATGGCTCCAATTGGAACCAGTATGGATATGGGCAACAAGGTTACGGTGGCTATGGAGGACAAGGATATGACCAGAGTTGGGGTCAACAAGGTTATGGAGCTCAGGGTTATGGACAGGTGAGTTATTTTGTTTGCTGATAACATTCAACCTAGGACATATTAATGTCTTAAAAACTTGTAATCTTTGAAATTTTCGTTCAGTAATCGTCTGAATGATTCAATTTAAAGGGTCAAGAATTATCAGGCTCTATTTCTTGCTCCTGTTTTTAAAAGTATTTGTTGCTCTTTATTATCTTTCAGTAAGTTCAATCAAAGGTAATTTGTGTATTTCCTTTTTTTTCAGAATTGGGGGCAGCAAGGATATGGTGCTCAAGGTTATGGACAGCAGGGCTATGGTCAGCAACAGGGCTGGACTGGCCAGCAAGCAAACGGTGAGTTAACCGAAGGTATGTGTCACAGCAATTTTTTCATTTTTTCTTAACCTGTAATTTTTTTTACAAAAGTCTTAATGCCTTATTTTTTTTTTCTAGAAATTAATAAAATCTCTGAATTGGGCAATAAGTCTTCCGTAGGAAAGAGACTTATTTTTTCTTTCTGCCCAGGTCAAGGCCAAGGCTTTGGTGGCTACAGTGGTTCAGGATTTAATAATTATAGTGGCAGTCAAGGTATGACAATGGAAACTTGCTCACGTTTTTTTCCATTATCATAAATTCTGTCTGCTTCACTTTCTTATCCCTTTTTAAAGGAATACAGTGCGTTTTTAAAATGGTTTCTTTTTTCACCATTAAATGTTTCAAATTTTTTGCAAATATCTATTTTAATTGAAACTGTAGGAGGGAGCTCCTTGGCTGAATTTTTTTTTTAAAATTATGCGGCATATTTAAAACTTAAATCAGTAACATCAATAATATACTAAAAGGGTTAAATTTTTTTCAGCATTGTTGTACTAAGCAGGTCAACCATATATTTTGCTGTTATTATTCTGTCATAATGTCAGCGCGCCATCTTTTTAAAAAATGAAAAAGCATAGCCTTAATAGCCATTGGTTTTTCAATTTTTGGATCTTAAAAATAAAAAATTGTTGCCCATTTGATGTCTCATCATGTAAGTTTTTCCATATGGCATTGGGTGATCTTTAGAGTTTCGAGTAAGTGGTATACTTTTTTTCCTGTTCAGGTCAAGGGCAAAGCTATGGGGGCTACAGTGGTCAAGGATTTAGTAATTATGGTGGTGGCAACCAAGGTATGACATGAGTCTCAATTTTTTGGCTTTGGACATATGTCTATTGGTTATAGCAGTGGGGTCTCTTAGGTTTGAAAAATCTTAATGCCTTCTGGCTGAAGGAACAGTTTTTTAAAAAAAAAACCTGAATCCCCAATGCACACAGAACCCACTATTTTTCATTCTTCACATCATGTGTGCCTAAAGCATGAGACATCTAGCTATTTATCAAGGAAGGAGAAATACCATTTTAATGTTTAAAACAAAATTTTACTAACTGTTACTTAAAAAAAAAATTGTTTCTTTTCTAAAATGTGGAAACTGAATATTTTTTTAAAAAATGACAAATTATTTTCCTTACTTGAAAAAAAAATATAATAAATTCAGTGAGAAGTTCATAGGCAACCTCATTTTGAAGACCCTAGAGACCCTATTGGTTATAACCAATATACCTTTTTGACAGACAGCGTTTTATTTCGACTGTTCGTTAAAAAAAATTTTGCAATGAAATGAAAGTAATGCACTCTTGGTTTCCTAATAATTACATTTTTTTATATTTTTTTAGGTTATAGCGGAAGTGGATCTCAAGATGGATATGGCAATGGTTACCAACAGACACAAACAGCTGGTCGTGCACCAAGCACAGGAGGTAGCACACCTCAAGGATATCATCCTTACAAACGTTGATCTTGTTGTTTTTTTTAAAATATATTTTTTAATGTCATTCATGATGGCTTTTAATATGACATTGGTTGAACATAGTGTGCAAGGATACGTTTTTATTGAAGAAATATTCAGTAATTTTAAAATTCAAAATTTTGCACGTGAATGTTTCGAAAGCCAGCTGAAATATTTTTTAAATAAATTTTTGTCATGCATATTTTAAATGTTGAATGTATCTTGTTACCCTTTTCTAATGAAACCTGTAAGGATAGCAATCTTAACATCTTATATGCTGACTTTTCTAATGAACATACAATTTTAAGATTGCAAAATAATTTGAGTTGGAACAAGTTGCATTTCCCTGTAATATCTTTAAAAAGTTATTTTACTTGAAATTAAAGTGTTATAAACCAATTTTGGGGTGGGGGCGATGATAGTTCCTTGTTTAAAACTGAAAATTGTGTGGTTTCACACATTTAGGATGGACCAGTTCATTTGTTCCTGAAATGTGAGATTTATCATGAAATGATTGAATTTGGATTGTTAGCTTTGCTGTCCCTTTATTTGTTGAGGCAGCTTTCACAAGAGCATTGTAATACCATAGAATGATTCAGATGTACAACTTTTGTGTTTTCACATCATTTGTAAACTGTTTTTGTCTCAAATTTTCATATTGTATTGTACATATTTCAATAAATAACAATTCATTGAAGGACTGCTCTTTATTTCATCTCTTAATTTATTGTCAAGTCTAGTCTTACAACCTAGTCCATTGAAACCAAATACCGGTATTTTTTTACACTTGTTTTATAACCAGAGTGTTTTATAACCAGAGTTCCAATTGACTTCAAGCAAAAGCAGTGCAGAAAGTCAATTTAACTTATTTGGAGCTGGAACCATATGTACATATAAGTAGCTTCAGCTTTATTGCTCTCACATACACAATTTTGTTACTTTATCACATACACCTCTAATTTAAACGTGAACAATATTTTAAATCTTAAAGATAATAATATATATTTTATTCACAATTTTGTCCCAACTACTTCACCTCCCACATAAAGCTACTGCAACTTGCATAATCATGATTTTAATCATAAATGGCTCATTTTACTGCTTGCTCTTCTGCTGTATTGGATGTCTTCTTTTGCTGTGATTGTAATTATGTCTCCATTGCAGTTCTCTGATTCAACCATTTGTAGAAAACCTTGTACAACTTTTTCTACCCTGTAATTGTAATAATGTAAATAGCAAATAATAAAAAGCTTCAATTACTTGAAATACTAGAACAAGTACTGGTACCTACAACAGCAAGTCTTCGAAAACATATTTACTTGATAATTGATAACTTCACCTGTTAATTCCCAAATGTTTAGTTATCCTTTGTCCATCCTCAAAATACAGCATTTGCTTTTCTTTTTGATTAAGGATATCGGTATCGGTGAAAGCAGGACAGAGACACCCAAACTGAAGACCCATCTGACTATTATAAGGATTGCTCTGTGAAAATAAAATAGTACACACCCGGTATATGAATTCTTGCAAATTTTTCGTCAATTCATATTTCTGTAACCGGTACATATAACTTATTTATAAATAACTATGTCAGTGGTTTGTGATTAAGGTACAAAGTTAATTTCATGATTCATGACTGTAAAACTTACAGCCCAACTGAGATGAAATCCAACTAATCCAAATTTGGAGGCACAGTAGGAAGGTACAAAATAAACACCAGTGAGTCCTAATAAGTTTTAAAGAAGTTAACATGTTTTATAATTGTTAAATATAATTCTGAAACATTGAGCATGAATTTCTAATAATATACTACTATTAATACCAGGTAATATATTTTTTTCCCAAAACTGCAATTTATAAACTTTCAAAAACAAACTTTCAATTTTTTAATGTCACAAATTAATTTCAGTTAAAAAGCTGATTAATTAATTAATTAATTGTATTCATCAAATTCATGTTCCAAAATACATAAGGGTACACCTGCTGTTGATGCAATGTTGATAACAACTCCTCCTTTTCCACCTTTATCTTTCCTCATGTGTTCCACAGCAAGCATGGAACCCTCTATAGCACCTATCTAGCATTTAAAAAATTTAAATAGAAATTTAAAAACCAATTTTTAATACAATATGGTATGTTGAAAAAAGAAAAGTTGTTCAAGGTAGATAAGATTAAGAAGTTACTAGAGAAGTTAGAAGAAGCTTTATTTAACGGAGTGGCTATTCGTACCCGGGTTTGGTACCAGAAGTGAGAGAATGGGATTAAAATTTAATAAAAAAACTTAAATGGACCCAGACATGCAGCGCCGCCATTCGCACCCGGGTACTATTACACTCGATGCTATTCGGATGTCATTTGTGGTACCGGTAGTTTATTTAATTAAACTTAAACTGAAGAAGTAGGTTTACAAACATAGCCCATTCACCATTCAATTAATACCTCATTTTGTCTTACAAACCCAACAATAATATTATTAATATTTTAAATAGTTTTTTAATCCCAACCTCTCACTTCTGGTACCTGGGTGTGAATAGTCACAGCCTTTATTTAAACCACCCTTTTTTATTTTCATCATCCATCTTTTGCTTCTGGCTAACCCACCTGACTACCGGTACCAAAATATTTACTGACATCTTTATATTTATATTTTCTTGCTTATCATCAATTTTAATATAGACTAGTGGTACCGGTACAAAACAAAATTACCTCTTGTCTTTGGTGAAGAGTAGGTGCTTGTTCTGTATCTGTATTAATTTACCGGGTATAGGTTTGTAGGGTAATGAATTTGTCAGTTTAGCAACCAGGGTCTTGCAGTACCCAGTATTGTGTGCTCTTGAGGCGGATAAAGTTGTAGCCATTTGTGGGGTTGTGTTTAGATGTGTTTAAAAACTATTTTTAATATTTGGTTTTTAGCTACTGTTGGCATGATTTGATGGGGGTTGCCTCACTCAACCTCTCCTTGGATGTCATTGCTTATGAAGGGGATAATATCCTACATTCCTGGCACTAGCAAATCTATTATGCCCTGCTATTTTCTGTGCTGTATTGTCATTTTTCCTGGTCAATATGTATAGGGCTATATGTATTAGTTTTGTATGTCAGATTTCTACTTTTTTTATTTGATATCCCGCCGATTTTAACTTGGGGGATATTTAATTTTTTTTCCCCCCATTACCGGTAACCGGAAGCTAACTTTCTAAGCCAGCCTTGGTGATGATCAAGCTCGGAAAAGGGGCTTTCATCTTAATATGGAAGAGATTCAGTTTCGACCTACTGCTTTTTTGTGGAAGGGGAACTGCAAATTTCTCTGCCCTTCACAGGGTCGTTAACCATATCTAGTACTAGTACACTGGTAGGATTTTTGATGTGTTCATCATGGTTTTCTAAGCCTCTGTGGCTTTTCCCCACCCAGATCAAGAACCTGCACACCATGTATTCCTTCATTTTGATAGCAGATGGATTTTACATTCATCTGGAAGTCATCCCTGAATCATGTTATCTGGGCAGGATTCATGCTTTACTTCGCTCATTTTCCATCACCTATCATCTAGCACTTCACATTTTCACTTAATTTTATTATTATTCAATGATGCTTGACTAATTTTAAAAGTACTGGTACACACTTTCCTGGAGCATTATCTTGAATTTGTATGTCTGTAGTAAAAGTGTACAGTGTAAGCCTCAATATAAAATTACATACAGACTCTTTTTAAATCCCTGTACTGTATCCCCAGTTTTCCAATCATCCAACTTGCTGTAAAACAAATGATCAGCATCTAGCTTTTATTGACTTGAATTATAAAGCTTTTTCACATGATTGTGTGCTCTCACAAAGCAACACAGGCATAATGAACAGGATGCATTGCACAGTTAAGGAGCACCAGCACCTATTAATCATAATAATAATAATAAGAGTTCTTATATAGTGCGCTGTACATAAAAATTTTATCAAAAGACACATAATCATGATATTAAAATAGAATACAATTTATGAAATAAAGAACAGCAATGTATATTCACCCACCCCACCACATAACTTTTGCAAGGCAAACCATGGACGGCAGTCAGCAAGATCGTTTATCGGTCAGAGGAGGGGAACCAGTCAGGGAAGTATATTTAAAAAGATATGTTTTGAGTGCAGTTTTGAAGGCCTGGGTGGTTGGTATATTGCGTATGTGTAGTGGAAAAGAATTGATGATATTTAAGATTTTGTGACCACTGGTACTGGGTACTTCTGATTATTCAATCTATAAAATTAAACTGGTTCTGAAGTGATCTGAAGATGGAAAAAAAATTGTATTTTTGTAAAATGCTATCTGTTAATAAGTGTTCACTAATTTTTGTGTTGATGATGATTTCTTCCTCTTGTTGCCATACATTGTGTGACAGGGACAAAGAACAACAGTACAAGTCCAGACAATCAAATGTTCAGATTCAGATAAAACCAGTTAATTTTTGTACCAGTTACTTACTAGGTTAATATTGACCATATCCCTTAGCCTTGACTCATCTGCAATGCCAGCGTTATTTACCATCAGATCAATATGACCAAATTTGGATACTGCATCTTTGAATGAGTCTGAAAAAAAATGATGGAATTGCGTTCCAAGAAATTTAAATAACAAGTCAAAATATTAAGGGGAACTGAAGCTAACAAAACTTTGTAAAGTCTGAGTAATCTTTAATATATTATTATTATTAATTATAATTATATAATATACTGGTATATTCAAACTAGATAATGAATGATCCGATTATATGTAACGCAGTATACTTGTCGTTGTAGTTGTAGGCCTACTAAATTCCAAATTGGATCATTGTTTGAAATAATTGAAATCAGGGCTTGGACGTGGAGAGAAAATTATCTTGGATTTTTGGATTGTCAGTGACTTAGGATTAATATAGGCTACGAACTAATGCTAAATAATAATATTTAAAAAAAAAAATAATAACCTGAAACAGTACCGGTACAGTATAGCAATATTAAGAAATTGTTTTTAAAATACCTTTGATGCACATTATAGTTATAGTATTTATAGTACCGGTATGGGGAAATGTTGCATCCACCACCTTTGTCACGTTTAAAATAATTTATGAGTAATATTAATATTACTCATAAATTATTACTATTACCGGTACCGGGTAGTAGTAGTATGGTATTATTTTAGGAAAGTTAACTACAAATACTGAAACGTACTCCTAATATTAAATCTGGTTAAAGTAGGCTATACGCCTACCAATTAAAAGTTTCACCACATAGAGTCATAGAGAATTTAAGAAAGCTATTTATATTTTTATATTAAAGTTAAATTACAAAATTCTTTGTCATTCTGGTACCGTATTGGCAAAATTGTATCTGAAATAGTTCCCAATCATCTATTTAAAAGTAGGGCCTACCACAAACAGTTATTCAAGTTCAAGCTGTTTATAGTATTAGTATATACCTCTTCCCTCATGATGAATGATGACCATTAATAAACTAAGACTAAAAGCAAAGGTTAGCTTTACTACTCTCAACTGATTTATAATAAAGTAAAATAACTAAAATAATCAGTTATATAGAAATGTTTAAATTTATGTTAATTTCATAAAAGTATACTTAAAATTACACCTTTTTGTGTTTTCATCAATCTTACTTGCAAGACTTGCTGAAGATGATACATCACAGTGTAAAAATAGGACTCTATCTTGGCCATATTTGTCAGAATATGTTTTTTCCACCTCTTTTCCTTTGCTTACTTGTATGTCTGTAAAGCATACCTAAAATAAATTGTTAAAATTTACAAATTAAGAAACAATACCTTTCTAATAATAAGTAAAATGTAGAATTTTATATCCAAATATATAAACCGGTATATATATAATAAATATACTAGCCAATATACCCGGGATGGCATTTGGAAAAAACAACTTCTACAGCCTTTTACTTTTAGTTTTAGCTAACATCAAAATTAAGGTTCCCTTTAAAATACATCGCTAAGAGAAAATTTAAAATGTTAAATTTTCTCCTCTAAATTACACATTTTTAAATTACGATCGGAAAGGGATACTATTTCTGTTCAGATCTCAATCCTCAGTAAGATACCTTTCCTGTTGGAATCCCATTCTCTAGTATGGGAGCCAGATCAAGAACCTTATGGGATCCATATTAAATCCAGATATTGGCGGGATCCTCGTGCCGATGGGTTCTCGACCCCAATGGTATTTCAATTGCAATTTAATCCTGATTCTTATGGAAACTCGTTTTTGATGGGATCCCAGGTAAATCCCAGTGGGACCCCAATCACGATTAAATACCCATGGGATATCTATCACTGTGAGATTTCAAACCAATTGGGACCCCATTTTGAAATGGGTTTACATAACCTGATGGGTTTCCGTTCCCGGTGAGATCCTGATCCCGGTGGCATCACGATCTTGGGTGGCATCCCAAGCCCTGTGTGATCCCTTTTCCATTGGAATCCCATTTCTAAATGTAATCACATATCCTGATGTGATCCCGATGGGTTCTGTTTCCCAAATGGGATCCCAATTTACAATGGAATCCTTTACCCGTTGAGATTCCATTCTCCATGTATCCACTTTCTCGGTGGGATCCCGTTACTCGGTGGAATTCTATTCCCGTGAGATCCCATTCTCTGGATGGGATCTATTCTCTGTTTTGATACTGGTACTGTTACCGGATGGAATCACATTATCTTATTTTGATCCCATTCCCTGTTATGATGCTGTTTCTCTGTGGGATCACATTCCTGGTGGGATCTTGGTTCCCAGTGGGATTATGACAGGTATGTTTACCAACTTTGGCCAAGATCCATCAATACACATAGAAGTGTATACCGTAATCATGGCAGTAAATTTATGTTTATAGCTTACGCCATAATGATGAACAATTAATTAGGAACTTTCTAGAAACTTTCAAAATTATCTTTAACTTTAATTCTTTTTCCATAACATTTAAGGAAACTCATTGAAAGTGAAAGTTGTGGAAACATAATAAAAATAATTAGGACATTTATCATTTATACAATCTTAAAATGATTACCAAAATATAAAAAAAAATTTAATTTAACTTTACAAAATATACCGGTAACCAAGCAATATAGAGAAAATTCCCAGGTAAGTATAGAAGTAGAAATCAATAGAACTAAACTAACATTTCAATAAGCTTTTAGATCAAACTATATGTCCCTGTGGAGCAATATACCCTACCCTGACTTCCAAGATGGATTTGTTATTGTTAAAATAAGTCCAAAGTATAACAAGAACAAATTAATTAAAGGTCAGGAAGTAAATATATTTAAGAACTGTATTTAAAATTTAGAGGAGCCATAATGATCAATACATTGATCGCAGGCCCTCAAAATATAGAAGAAGAAGAGGTAAGAACGTTAAGTTTACATTAAATTTACGTTATTCAAAATTTTCCTTTCCTGGAAAGCTGCAAATTTGTCAAGCACTTGATCAAATTCAATATCCTTCTCCGTATCACTTTCAACTTATAGTAGAGCCTGGTCAGAAAGCCTTGGCTATTGTAAATAAGTCTTGATAAGCCTTAGTTTTGAAAAGCTCCACTCCTATGAAGCCACAGACACACAGATGGTAAGACAATTGAAGGCTTAGTAAGAGTATTGGAAGAGATTCTAGGAAGTCCCATTCAGCTATGAATTTCAAAACATCAAATACTGAACAGTCCTTGAATTTGTGAAATTCAATATCAGCTCCCTTTATTGTCTTCTAAACATAGATGCGGTACCGGGTATTTCTTTTAAAAGTTCATCCTCCTATAACTTATCATAAAAAGAGGTTAATTTTTTAACAGACTCCAATAACTCTTCTTCACTTGCTGATAGTAGACTGATGAACAGCCCAAAACATATCTGCTACTTCCTTGATCACTGATCTGGAGTTCAGAATGAAAGCGAGCAATGCACACACACCTCTCTCTTCTCTTTGCTTCTTGCAGAAAGAGTCCAATATCTCTTAACTGTTTTCCTTTCATTCTCTGTGTGTTCTTTCTAACAAAATTCCATAACGGTCTGATTTTAAAAGTACATTTTTAATAGCATGTTCCACAAAGTGAAAGCGCTTCTCCTGCAGAAACAATCTTAAGGCCTCTAGGTTGGTCACCATTTTGTCCAGAGTAAAGCCTTTAGTCTGCAGATACTGCTGTGTAAGATTAACTTCCTCAAGTAGATCATCCAGAAGGCAAAGGTAGCAGATTAGAGACCGACCGAAAGTGATTTTCTGATTTTGGCCGAAGCCGAAATTAGGCAGAAATTTTAAAATGACTTTCGGCCGAAACCGAAAAAAGGCAGAAAGTTAAAAATGAATTTTGGCCGAAACCGAAGCCGAATATTAAGATATTTTGAAATTCGTTCCCGCATACATTCTGCATACATCGAAAATGATGTGGGAAAGTATAAATATTTACATTCTTTTTATAAAAAATGAGATAATCGTGACTATTAATAAATAAACATCTAATATAGGGTTCTCAAACTCGCGGCCCGCGAGCCATTTGTGAACCGCAAGACGATATTTTGCGGCCCGCTACATGACAGAAAAGTTTAGTGTAAATGCACCGGCCCGTTTCCCCCATTCTCATATCTATAACCTGACTCTCAGCGACGGTTTCAGTCGAATCTCACCGACTAGTCTAATTCTGATTTTTTTGGTAATGTTTCTATATATTTTTGTATGCAACAGTGAGTAGGTGGATGAAAGTGAATCCTATTTTTTGAGAAACCCTTAATGATTTCATTGTTATTTTTCAAGGTTGAGCAGATTGTAACAGTTGTAATCGCTTTTTTGTGGATTACTTGATGCGCCCCCCCCATGATTTGAGTTTGAGACCTTTGATCTAATGAATACTATTGATTTTACAATTTTAATATAAAAGTAATTTCAATTGCTTTACAAATTTTTTAAAATTAGTATGGTAGGAGAGAGAAAATTTGGCAAAAATTGGTAGGGGGGTGGGAATTAATGCAAAATATTATTTTTTTAAACCGGGTCTCTAAAAATTGTGGTTCTAAAAGATCGCTTAATTTGTTTTTAAAGATCGTTTAGTTGGTTGTTAAAGATCATATAGTTTGTTGTTAAAGATCGTTTAGTTTTTTTTTTAAAGATCGTTTAGTTTGTTGTTAAGATCGTTTAGTTTGTTGTTAAAGATTGCATAGTTTGTTGTTAAAGATCGTTTAGTTTGTTCTTAAAAATCGCTTAGTTTGTTGTTAAAGATCATCCAACTTTTCTTAATGATCGCTTTAATTTTTTCTTAAAGATCTTTTAGTTTGTTCTTAAAGATCACTTAGATGGTTGTTAAAGATCGCTTAGTTTTTTCATAGAGATCGCTTAGTATGTTCTTAAAGATAATTGATTTTGTTCCTTAAGATCGATTAGTTTGTTCTTAAAGATCTTTTTGTTTATTCCTAAAAAACATTTAGCTTTCTGTTAAAGATTGTTTAGTTTGTTCGTATAAATCATTTAGTTTACTATTAAAGATCATTTGTTTTGTTCTTATAGATCATTTAGTTCGGTCTTAAAAATCGTTTAGTTTGTTCTTTAAGATCGTTTATTTTGTTATTAAAGATCGTTTAGATTGTTCTTAAAGATCACTTAATTTGTTTTAAAGATCGTTTAGTTTGTTCTTAAATGTCGCTTAGTTTGTTGTTAAATATTGTTTAGTTTATTCTCAAAGATCGCTTAATTTGCTGTTAAATGTCGCTTAGTTTGTTGTTAAATATCGCTCTCGCTGAGTATTAAATGACCGAATTCCTGAGTCACTTTCGGCCGAATGGCCAAAAGACTAAGTCAATTTCGGCCAAAACCTAAGAAAAACCGAAAGTTAACTTTTCTCTTTCGGCCGAAACCGAAATTAAACAGAAAGTCAACTTTTCAGTTTCGGCCGAAACCGAAACTTGTCCGAAAGTGATAAAATGGCCACTTTCGGCGCCAAAACCGAAGCCGAAATTCGGTCGGTCTCTATAGCAGATACAAGTGAAATCACAGACACCATCTAAAAGACATTTGCTGTAAAATAATTGTGCTGTAAAACAACTGTGGTCTAATGTTAAAAGATGGTGCTAGTGACGAATCAGCGAAAATTATTTATTTTTGAGTATTTCTGGGTTTCAAAAGATTTGGTTTCAAAAACATTTTGAAAAAAATTTTAATTAAGTTAAATTAATTATTAAAATTTATTAGAAAATATTGTAAAATATTATTTTGTTGACCCTAAAAATCGGTAAAAATTGGGGTGCAACTGGGGGTGCTTATCCCCTGAGGCATATTTATAGGCTCTATTTTTTCTAAAAATTCACAGGGGTCATCTCTATCAAGTACAGAACCCCTAATCCTTAACCAAGGATTCACAACATTATTGTAAACATAATAATTTTGATTGTCTTCGTTACTTTTTTGGTTGTTTTCATCAGTGTCAGACTCACTGTTAGACAGCGAGAAATCAGAATCACTAAGCACAGTTTGATCAGAGTCACTGTCAGACATGTTCGAATTTCCCGATATAACTATAAACAGAAAAAAAAATTCCTGCACACAAATAAATCTAGTTCACCATCAACGAACGCCGCCATTACAATGCCGGGATGTGCAGGAATACGTAAGAAAAAATTTGATTTGCTGGTACAAAGTTAAGCCAGCCAATAACGAGGCTAGCTTTATCGGGCCGATGGTTCGGACTTTTGTCTATCTCGCTACTCCACCTTGGGCCGATAGATCGGCCCTTACGTCCCAAGAGGGTTAATAATATAAGTGTAACCTGCTGATATGAATCTATTTTTAGGAATATTTGGTATACTCTTACTATGGCAGAGGATGTTTTAGGCCGGCCTATGCCTATATTTTATATTTATATCATTTAAAAATAAATTGTAGCAAAAGAAATAACTTAGACTTAGAATTATTAGAATAACTATTTCCATTTATTTGCAATTTAAATTAAATTTTGCAGATAGTAATTTTATATTAAAGTTGGATACTCGACCTTAGCACCACGATTTAAGAGTGCCTCTGAAAAGGCTTTACCAAGTCCTTGCGCTGCACCTGTGACAAATGCAACCCGGTTGAACAGTTGCATGATGATGTTGTTTTCACAAGTGACAATATTTTCACTAACTTTCCAAGGCGACCAAGGTGATGGCGATGGTTGTACTTGTTGATGAAATTTAGGCCTATGGTAGATAATTTATTAATTCAAATAATAATTTATTAAATCAAATAAAACAAAATTATAGTTGTGAAAGAACAACGAATCATTTATATTATTTATAAATATAAATATAAAACAAATCCAAAACATGCCGTTATAGAACGTTTAAGTGTTCTGTTTCAGTTTCAGCACTAACTTTTTTGTTGGTATACCGTATACCTCTGCCTCTGCTGTCAAAATAAAAGACAAGACTGAAGGAGTAAAGTTCATGCCACAGATAACCCATTATGAATTATTAAGTAAGCCTGAGAATTCATGACGTCGACGTATAGAAACATTTTAATTAAATTGAACGTTGCGTTCCTCCAATGCCTCTAGAAATAAGTAAGGAACCATAGTGATGTGTAAATTAGAATAAGGAAACTTAAATTTACATATTCAACACAATTAATTAACATATTATAATTATAAGTGTAAAAACTAACTCGAGGAATATGAATATTGAAATTGAATTGAAAGATTTAAATTTAAACCAAAAAAATTACAATATATTCAAAATAATATTGTAATTGTAATACAAGAATATTATAGAAAAACGGGGAAATGTACATCAGCATATTATTCATATGCCATAGTTATAGTTAAATAATGCCTGGGGCATGGATCAGCTTTATTATTTCTTAACCTTACTTTGTGAGCGATCATATTAAGATAAGATATTGAATTTTCAAATATTAACGCTAAGTTTTTCCTTTTAATTAGTCTTTGTACACGTACCTGGCAAAGATAAACCTTTTATTTGACAAAATAAACAAAACATGGCTGGCACAGTTTCACGTGGTGCCCCAAATATTATGATTGCAGGTGAGAACAAACTTTCAAAAGGCTATTAATTATTGTTCTAATAATGTCGAATATTGCCACTTCAAAAATATGTTGTTGATAGACCAGTGTTTCCTGAAGTCGTGGGGCAGGGGCAATTACTGTAATATAAATTGATACACTGATTCACTGAGACTGAGTGTTAGTGTTATTAATCAGTTATTAATAATAGCCTGCCTGCCTATAGTCTGGCTATACTGACTATAGTGAGAGAACAGTGTTATTCTATAGCCTTGGCCTTGGTAATCTACCACTGCAGCATCCACTATTTACCAAATACTAATAGAGTTTGAGTTTTCCCCTATCTATCATTGATCATGCCCTATGAGCCCTATGTACTATGTTAATGTTACAATTATATTTATATGGCATGGTAATGGCAGTAATGGTATCAATGAAGGGAATAAGTATAAGAACTTTAAGAAGTGATCTGATTGATGTGTTTGCATAAGTATAAGCCACACATCTGCCAGAGACAATATGTGAACCTGATAGAATATATGGCTAGAATATATATATATATATATTTCTATATGTGATAATATGTACTCCTGTCAAGGGATCAAAAGTTGGCCAGGCACTTCAACAAGAAAATGGTCCCCTCCCTCTCTTTCAATGGCAGCGAAACCAATGGCCCTCTGTCCATTGTCCACAGTGGTATTTTCAGTAAAATAGCACTAAGACCCCCCCCCAAAAAAAAAAAGATTTCTGAATAGCCAACGCCAACACTGAAGAGGTAGATCACCAACTAAATTAGTTTAATGACATTGGCATTGGTTAACTGTTTGAAAAACTTTATGAAAACTGTCACAAATAGGTGAATTCCATAGTAACTGACGTAATTTTCAGAAAAATTTTCAATTTGCATTGTAATTGTATAAATAATATATTCCATGAAGTGTGCTTAATTTAACTATTATGTATGATTTTGGGTCTTAAGTTGGTTCTTGGTAGACTGTAAAAGTAAAACAATAGCATTTATATAAATATTTTAATTGTTAAGCCTAATTAGTAGTAAAACTAATACATTTTGGAATTTTAACTGACATAACATGAAATAAAGCAATATATAAAATACTTTAAAAAAACAACCCTTTTACAAAAACGTACTGAAATATAAAATAAATGTCCCCCAAAACTAGTTGTCACAGTCATCATGTGACTAAAAAACATCGGGTCTTCCATGAATTCAATGTACTTCACTAATTTCATTCCATTTGTCAAGTTCACAGTCGATGGGAGCATATAACAGTAATGCACGGCATTTGTGAGACCTCATACTTCCATGATTAAATTATCTGCATCATAACAATTGTCACATTATACTTATTTGCAGCAATGCAAACATATAGATGTGTCCAACATTGTATTTGTCAAGTAATACAACATCGTTGTATTTCATGGGGGCCCCATGGATTTTTATTCATATGTCTGTAACAACATGGGGGACATGTATTTGATACTTTTTAGTACATTTCTTGGAAAAGCGTGTTTTTAAAAATCTATTTTTTAATATTGTTTTATTTTGTACTCTTTAGATTTGGAATATGTCAAACACAAATGAATAAACTGGAACATGATTTTAGTAGTAATAGCGTCTAAAATTTAAATGTAAAAAAAAATGAATGCTTTGAAAGTGTTAGTACTGTGTTTTACACTCGTGACCTGCTGATTATGAAGGGCTGTGAGTCATCTTGGGTGGGTAAGTGTACAAATATCTCAGCTCAAACAGAGGGTCAAAATTGAGATACAAAGATTTTATCACACACAAATGGACAGAGCAACCTAAGAAAAAGTGTATAAAATACATACTATTTGAGCTAGCATCTTTTTTGTTCTTTTCCTCTGAAATATGCTTTAATTGAAATATATTTTTCTCAAACTAATTATCTATGATTGTTATCTACAGTGTTTTCTAATTAGAAAGCACATTAAAAAAATACAGACAAAATAATGTAACTGGTGTAATATCACATTGTATTGTATGCAAGCAATAAGAAATAAAACAATGTTAATTCTTTTACAGAATAACAAATAATTCACAGTAGCAATAAATAAACTTAAATAATCATAAATAACAGTGTTTTAATGCTTGTATATCATGTGACATTGACCATGACAATAAAAATTGACTCTTTACATTTTTTCAACAAAATTTATAATTAAAATGTGTAGCAATATGTTCTTAATTTCAAATGGCAACCAGGTCATGTCTCACAGAACAAATATACCGGTACTAAAAATGACTCCATACCAAAATGTATGAAATAAATTTATATAGCACCAAATTGTGTCTACTTTTTACGTTGAATTCACCTATAACAACTGCATAGTTGCAGCTAAAAAGTAAAAATCTCATCTTAACAAAGTTCTAAAGTCTAATTTCCTTAAAGTAAAAAATTGATAATGGTAAAACATCATTTTACCAAAATTTAATTTGTTTTACATTAATGAAATCTAATTACCAAATTTAATAAATAACACACCTAATATTGAGCTTTCTTACTAATCTTCCTTAGGCCTATCATAAACATAAACAAAAAAATATGTATGAAATAAAATCACCACATTAACATAATATTTTACAAGATAACACTTATGTTTCATGGGTATTCTTAAAGAATAGTTAGGATAACATGCCCAAAAATCCTAAATAATTTCACAAAATATATTTACACAAGTGTTTCTAAATTAACAATTTCAAGTTTCAGCTTTTCCTTCACACTAATATTTACGACTTACCTGAGTCTTTCATTTTAATTTAAATGGCTCCAACTAGATAGTTCCCACAAAATATCACAGTATTGTTGAACTTGAACATATGACTTTGTAATTAAAAATGCTTGCTGATCTGAAATTTATTTAAAATGATAAAGTTGCAGGCTGTAGAACTTTTAACAAGAAAACAATCTTTAAATAATTTTGCCACATATAATCACTGTTAACACAGTTGACAATATTATATTTCTTTCTTATTTTAGATACTGATATAATGCAACAAATTTTAACTTTTTATCCTGAAAATTATTTGTTTATAATTGAACAAGCGAAAGGTTACATTTTTGTTAATTTAATTGGCTAAAACCATATTTTACCAGTTGAGTTCCTACTGTAACTAATTTAGAGCTTGTTCATAACTGACAAAAGCACCTGGCAAACTACAAGCAGATGAAGCAAAAAAAAATATTTTACAATAATAACCTCAAGTCAATACCAACTATACTAACCATACTTTGCAACCATCCTTTAAAAAGGTACCCCAGGTACAGGCAAGTCCACTTTAGCTAAAGAGCTTGCTCAACGAAGTGGCCTTAACTACATTAGTGTTGGTGAAGTTGCAGAAAGGGCTGACTGCATGGATGGATATGATGATGAATTGCAGTGTGGTATTCTAGATGAAGACAAGGTAAAGTTGTCATGCATTTTTTAGCGTTTTACTTGAACATAATTTCTCATAATTTTGGGGTTTAAAAACAGTATAAATCAAAGACATCTACAGCCTTTGCCTAGAATGCAAGCCCATAATTATGATGTGCATGTTAACATAATAATAATAATAATAATAAAGCTTATTTGAAAATCAGGCTTCATCCCCAAAGGCTCGAAGCATGGTACAAAGTTATCTATATGAAAAGAGAAATGAACCAATCAATATTTTACCACATTGAAATACAAAACGCAACCTTACAAAAACTACATACGAGAATACCCATTCTAATTCTTTCATCCCTTGCAACCATAAACAGCACAGGCCACTATACATCTAGGAGATAATAGCTAGCTGGAAAAGATGGTAGACAACATCTCCCCAGCAGGTGTTTGGGAAATAGATATGTTTTCAAATCGGTTTTGAAAGACTCCAGTGTCTGGCTGTTTCTGAGAGCGACAGGAAGTGTGTTCCAAATAGTTGGGCCAGCAAGTGCGAACGTGCGCCCTCCTTAAGTCTCAAGGCGAAAACGTGGTATCCAGAGTTTGCCACTTTCGGATGAGCGGAGCTGTCTAGTGGATACATAAGCGCTTTGAGGTAGGATCATGTAAGCAGCGGAAGCACAGAGTTGCAATTTTTTACCGCGGACCGGCAGCCAATGCAACTCTCTCAGAAGTGTTTTAGCATGGTCAAATTTGTGTTTGCTTATAGCACATGTGTCAAACTCAAGGCCCACGGGCCACATCTGGCCCACCAGCCCCGCGAAGTCTTGACAAGCGTACAAGTATATCCAAGTCAACGCTATGGTTTTTCCCAATGCACACTTTGCTGAAAAACTTAGGTTACTTCGCGCCGAGGTCACACGACGCTTTAGTGACTTTGAAGCGCAGAAATGTAATTTTGAGCTGTTTCGTAACCCATTTTTCATAGATGTGGAAACTGCACCTTTAAATTGGCAGATGGAGCTAATAGAGCTGCAGTGTAATGAGACACTTAAGGCAATGTACGACACAGTTGGGCCAACACAATTCACTCGTTTCATTCCTGAAAGGATGCCCCAGCTTCGTCTACTTGCAGCATGATGGGGCTCAAACCTTGAACATGTTTGGTAGCACATATATGTGTGAGCAGCTGTTTTCTGTGATGAAAGTTAACAAAACATCACACAGAAGTCGTCTCACTGATGAACACTTGCAGTCCATCATGAGAATCTCAATGACACAGCACGTTACTCCCAACACAAACGAACTTAGTTGTTTTTATATAAATGTTTTTTTATAAAAGATTAATTTTCCGTTTATTGAATTTTTATCCTGTTAGGTCCACAACCTTACACATGATTTGAGTTTTGGTCCGCCGAGCAATTGAATTTGACACCCCTGACATAGATTGATTTGTAGTCAGTAACATCTATTGAATCCCTTTTGAGTGTTTCATCCCATAAACCAGAGCTCCACAACCTGTATGATGCTGCACAAGATGATGTTGGGTGTGCAGCGGTACACTGGTATGCCATGAAATGATTCTAGGTGTGCCATGGAAAAATACCTTCAAGTGGAGGGAATTACAGAGTTAATATGGTGCACGTAAACATGATAAAAGCTTGATGATAAAATAGGACAATTATATGATTTTGGCAAGCTGTCAAACTTTTGAATTCAATGATCACAAGATATGAGCACATGCAAAATTGGCGAGTCGCATGGTTCCACTTATAATGTGACACCATTCTAGTGATTTAATTTTATCCTAATAATAATGTAACTTGTTGGCTGTGATGTTGAATTTATATTCTCAGGAGTAGCTTAAATATCTGCAACTCTCTAGCACCAAGTCAATTACCAGTAAGCCTGGAATTGATATAATCTACACTTTTGTTTTCATTGTGTTTCATATTATATTAAGCAGTGGCCCTTTAAAGGATCAGGCTTATATTCTTCTTGGGCTGTTCCCAGTTGTGGGTATATGACAGGTGGACTCCTAAAGTCCAGTATCGCATCTTCTCTTTGAGAAGGTAAAATTCTTTATTAAATAATTCCCCTGAAAGCTGACGAGGGGTAAAAGAAGTTTGTTTCAGAACTACTGGACCATGTTGGGGCAAAACAGTGTATGACTCAAACCAGCTGTAATCTTAGGAGTTAAGTTGCAAGAATATTCCCAAAGTTCTATTAAAAAAAATACTATGAAACCAGTTAAATAAATTTAAATAAAATGAGTAAAACAGAGTAGTGTTAAACCTGAAAAAATAAACGCCACAAAACAGCGAACGTGTCGGCAGAAAGCCTTCGTCAGCGAACAAAACAACAGAAAAAACGGTATGAAAATAAAAATAAGAAATAGCACTTAGCTGGTAAGTAGTATCTGTGTGCAGCAATAGAAGTGTGGCAGAAGGAAAATGAGTGAGAGTTTAAATATGCAGCGGTGAAGAAAAAAAAGAGGGGAGAAAAAGTTCACTGTGATAGGTCAGAACGTGGAGGGGCGGAGCTAGGGTCAAGCTGTAAACAGAGACATAACATTAATCCCATCTGGCGTCAAAGTGACTAACCTGATTGCAGTCTCTCCCCTTATTACCCCTAAATAAATTTAAAAAATGCAATTTTAAAGATTCAATAATTTCTTAATAGTTCAGCAGAGATAATAAAATTTAAAATTTGAAAAATTTCTAAGCTTATTATTTTTCAGTAAGGGGCCATCCTTATATTACACATACTATTAAAAGTCAACTTTTCATACCCCGTTGTTGCACCTGTCCATTTTTGGACCTCTCTTTGCAAATGTAAAAGTATAATTCTCACCCTTCCCCAAATCACAGTTGATTTATGGACAGTTGTCCCACAAAGTATTCCCAACCGATGTCTGTTTTTTCGGCGGTGGTGCTCACATGGGGTTTGCCTCTTCGTGGCGTGCCAGACTAGTAGGGAAGTACTGTTCTCCCGAAGCCAATAACCCTGGCCGACTACATGACTCCCAACGCAACGGGAGTAGTAATGTCGTAACATGATTACTTGTTACTGTTGATGGATATGAGGCTTGGGTGGCGGTTAAAACCCATGCTGATTCTTTAGCTACGCGGCCGTGAGAAAGCCGCTCGTAGGCAACTGTTTCGTCCCAGCTCTCCGTCCCGACAGAAAGACTCCCTGGGCGGTGGGGGGTTGTAATGCAACACCTTCCCTCCGAAGTGGAAGCAAACCCCCCCAAGCAATAGAAAAATCGGCTGCGAACGTTTTAAACGCAGCGTTTTCGGTCGACTGGACGTCCCCCATGCCAGGCGGGAGGTTCCTGGCGTTCCACCGCACGGTCTGGCGGCCGGGAAACCCGGCGTTTGGCCCGTGTGAGGAGGTGCCTGGGAAGGGTCATTATGAGCTCATGCTCGACGGCCCACCGACGCCATTTCCTAATAAGACATCTGTTTTTGCTAAATTAATATAATATTTGGTTCAGCTTAACAAAATAATGACATCACATGCACAGAAACATACAAAGGCCAATGGTGGACCAAAGTTTTCACTAAGCTAAATATTACTGTTGCAATATATAGCATGTTCATTTGTGAATAAACAAAGGAACAGTGTGACCATAGATACAAAACATTTTTATTCATCCATCCATGTGGCAATAAAGTTGGTTTTGGACTTTGGCCTGCCTCACCGCTTCCTTCCATTAAGGCCTAACTGATGCTTTTTTTTTTTCCATGCTAGGATTCCCAGCTTTTTTCCACATCTTCCAAACTGATGATTTTATAGCCTTCGAAAATAATAAGAAATCAAAGAATTTCAGATTTTTTTATGCCAGTTGGATTTATGAAAGATTTAAATAGAAATATGGACTTTAAGAATTTCAGGATATTTATTGCAGACCCCTCGTTCCAGGTTTCCGGTTGACAAGTCTGTTGTGGCTTGCCGATTAGGAAGCGTCGGCCACCGACCCCCTCGGCGTTTGCCTGGAAACATAACTACTGGGCACGCCCCGCGTGGGCAGACAAAGGGTGTGCTCGGTATCTGCCGTACATAAAACAGCTCCCACAGGGCTGCCGGTTGTGATATTTTGCAGTCGGAAAGTTATGCAGAGCCAGGGTAGGGATCATGATTACAAGTTGCCGTTGACGGGTATGAGGCCAGAGGCGAAGGTGGTAACCTCTGGAGGATTCAAATAATGCAGCCGTGAGAATGCTGCCCCTAGGCAACCGTTTCGTCCCAGCTACAGCGTGAACTAGTCGCGTTGTGGAAGCCCACTGTGGAATCCCTCTTATAGGGCGTCCGACGCTTTCCCGGGATGGGTGGGGGAAGATATTAGGACGTAAATTTTTCCATCCCAACTCCTGAGAAAGTCGATCGAGTGCACTGTTTAAACGCATAGTGTCGGATCGACCGGGTGGCTCCTCTGCGGCTCCCAGGCCGGGTCCTGGTCGAGCGCCCAAGCGCCCAGGCTGGGGACTTGGGTGAGGGGCCCGTGTGGGGGCCGTCCTGACGAGTGGGCACTCCAATGTGCCGCTCCGCCGCCCGATATGTCGGACCAGGGAGGGGTAATTAGGGGGGGAGGGGGCATAAGAGTCTAGACTCGCCCTGCTAATGCCATTTCTTAATGTAACATATTGCAGACCCCTCCCCATGCACTCCTGTAATAACTGTCCATACTTTTGCAATTTTACCTTTTCAGATTATTGATGAACTTGAAGAGACAATGTCAGCAGGTGGAAATATAGTAGATTACCATTCATGTGAATTCTTTCCTGAAAGATGGTTTGATATTGTGTTTATTTTACGTACAGATAATACTATTCTTCATTCTCGATTAACTGAAAGGTACGTTTTTTAATTCATCCAGTTATTGCTACTGGTATGTCTAAATGTGTTGTTTCTCATATGATCCATTAAAATTTTCCGAGTCTATGTGCCAAATAAGTTCTGTGTATCAGTAGAGAAGCTAGAGTTTGTGATGCTCGGGTCAGTAGAGAAGCTAGAGTTTGTGATGCTCAGGCCAGTAGAGAAGCTATAGTTTGTGATGCTTGGGTCAGTAGAGAAGCTAGAGTTTGTGATGCTCGGGGAGGTCCTTGACTTTGACTCCCCCAGTTAAAGAAACCTACAATGCATACTGAATACACATATTAAAAATAAGCTATTTAAAGTATATCAAGGGAACCCAAAAAAGCCACCCGTGGTGCACCGCACCCTCATGCTATGCCTAGGATGTGCTTAACATTTTAAGTGCTGTGCACATTTATGGACTAGCATAAACAAGTCTTAATTAACATTGTATTTACAAATTGAAGTTTTGGAGCAGGTTTGGAAAAGTTGGGGGAAAAAAATGAATCCACACCTTTAAATTCTTTTGTGAGTGCTCAAAATTATTGTGTACATAAGTGGCATAACCCAATGCATTATATATATATATATANTATATATATATATATATATATATATATATATATATATATATATATATATATATATATTAGTATTAAAAGTGGCATTATTAATTTTTTAAAATTGAAATTTAAATGTTAAATTTAAATTATTAAGTGTCAAAATATTTTTCTACAGAGGTTATAACGAGAAGAAAATTGAGTCCAACATCTCATCTGAAATATTTCAAGTCATTGCTGATGCTGCCAGGGAATCTTATCCAGCTGAAATAGTTCATGAATTAGCCTCAGATAATGCAGACCAACTTGAGTCAAATTTGGACAAGATTCTTGAGTGGTTAGCACTTTGGAAACAGCAGCATTGACCCATAGAATAATAAGATCTTAGGACAGAAAAACATTTTTTGGATTAGACATTGGAACTTATTTGTGAATTTTATCTTACAAGCATAAAGAAAACAACCTTGGTTTAGCATTTTAAAATTTGCATCTCTCCATGGAATATGATATAAGAAATACTTGTCATTGGCAGGTTGCCCTTTGTCTTCATCATTGTAACTTATGAGTTCCATTTTAAGTGGAAATGTGATTTTTATGTGTTTTTTAAATTGTTTCCTTTAACCTGCATTAGTATTAGTGTAGTGCCTGCTTTGGGAGTTATTTTTAACTTGACCAGTACATTGGTTTTATTTATTGTATTAAAATTTCAAACTTAAATAACTGATGAAATAATAATTTTTCAAAATACGAGTATGGGTATATATAATGAAGAATGAAATAAATTAATATTACGTCATTAACCTTTTCAGCACATATCGGTTATAGCATGGAATATCCCAATTTTTTGGCTTCTGCTGCATTTTATTAATCATGGAAGTGGCAAAAATGTAGGTTCGCATACACTTGATAACATGTTACCAAGGAAATCATATTTGATAATCATAACTCTTCTGTTTATAATCATGAAAATCACATGCATAATTAACAGCACAGAATAATCTGGTTATTTTGGCTAAATTTAGCTTGCTTTGACTGTGGCCACTGAATGTAGTGGAACTTATAAAGGCAATTTTTTAGATAAATTCTTTGCACAATCGCGTAAGCTGATAAAGCAACAACATCTTTTGGAAATAAGAGCTATAGTAGTATATCTTTCAATGTCAGAGTATATTTTATTGGCTCAAAATTAATTTCGTTATTGAAGGAGAAAGGGGATTATTAATATTTTCCCAGACTAGCTAGCCATGCATAAAGTTTTGGAAAGTGCCACCTAAAACAGTTCTGCAGATTAAAGAAGGAAGGTCAACAATGCAGGTATTCATTATGAAATGCCATTCTACTGTCTAAAGGGCCTTAGTTGATCAGGTCTGTGTATTGAGCGTGATTTGCTGTGTACACACTGAGACCTTCTTGTAACAGTTTTGTTTTTCGTCTAAATTTCATTCATAAATTTACTAAGTGTCCTTGAATTATGTTTACCGGTATGTTGAATACCATATTGTACAAAGTTCTTATATAACATATTTTTGAATTTATAATTTCTCCCTAAAGACAAAATTATATACAGTCAAAATGAGAATATGACTCCAAAAATAATAAGTTATTTTGTCATTATTGAATTGTCAGAAAGGAGAAACTTGCCTTGAGAATAGGTTAACAAGATATTGTAATTCTACAGGTTTTTTTTTCAGTGTTTTGACCTCACCTATGGAACATATAGCATATTTTTGTCTTAAACTGAAGTAAAGAAAAGATAAGATAAGCTTAAACCTGTATAATTTACCTTACTTTAATTTCTTTTAGATATCTCAGTGATTTTGTGTTTATTAAAAAAAATAATACACCATTTTAAACAACTGAGAATGTTGTTCTTTTTTTAGACTGCTGTTAATTATTTATATAAGTATACATATTAAGTATCAATAACTTTAGGGTATGGTTATTTTCTGATACATTGACCGTAGTCATGTTAGCACCTTATGGAAACTGCTACAACTGTCTTTTTTTTAAAAACTTAATTTCTTTTATGATTACATTAAGATTATTATATGTAATTTTAATGGCCAAATAACCAATTGGCACATGTTCAATAGCTGCTTTAACTTTTGATGAATTACAGCTGATTTTTATGATTTGGTTGTAAAGTTGTATATAGAAAATTTGAGTTTTTTTAAATAAAAAAAAAATAAATAATTGACAAAATAGTTCAAATATGAAGCTACTGTTAAATCAATAATTTTATTTAAAAAAGCCCCTTACCTCTTTTATTTTTTAAAATTTTAGACAAAATTGTCTTCAAAATTTTGAAAGAACTTCTTGTTTTACAAAAGTTAAGTTTTATTATATAATATAAATTGTTTCGTTTTAAAATTAGTCTAAGGATTGGTTTGGGTACAAGCTTTGTTTCTAATTTGTATTTAAAATCCTATTTACTTTCATTCAATTTAATTACATTATAGACAATTTTGATGTTTACATTACTATTCTGATTCTTTGTACAATTGTCTTATTTGTGTTTTGGCTAAGCCAGGCTAAGCCATAAAATATGCTGGTTATAGCCTTAAATAAATGTTGATGAAACATAAAGCATTAACTAGTGTCTATTTTTGTATCTACATATATGGAGAAAAAACTCATAGAATAGAATAATTATTCAAAGCTTTTAATTTCATGAACTGCTCACCACTGAATGGTCATAAATTTTAATATTCATTTATCTATGCATATATATTATGGTACATTATACATATAGTAATACCAAATAGGTGATGTCAATCTTTCTTTACTGTACAATAAACTTAATGCACAGTAAGTCTTTTGCGTACAGCCAATGTTAAAATATAAAAGCCAGTGAATATGTTTTAAATCTAGTCTTCACAATAGCAAGCAAAACATTTGTCCTGAACATTTTCCTTGGAAACAAACCCAGCAGCAGTAGACAAGACTATAGTAACTCTATACTTATTTTTCTGGAAGTACTTTGTTTTGAAATGTTTGCACATAATGATCCAAACAATGTATACTGGTATCTGGACCAATGAGAAGACATAAATGTGAACACAGAAAGCATCAATTTCTTGCAAAGGTTTGATAATTAGAAACACACCCATAACTTAAAGCTCTGCACTGTAGTTATATATAGGAATGAATATTACATATGCATTTATTTACTTTATTTAAAAAAAAAGATAATGTTTTATACCGGTAATTATTTTGAAAATGAAAACATTTTTACTACATTTGTAATTTGAAAACAATAACATTCAACCTCGCAATTCATGTTGACAGAACACCTTATGCTGTGTGAAAAATAAGTATTTTGAAGATGGTGTTGTGTTATAAAAATGGTTTCTCAATTATACAACTCTACTACCACAATGCACCTCTTCATACCACTCGCATTGGCGAGTTTTATCAGAGAAAGCAGTGCCACGGGGACACTGAATACGCTGCACTCTCTTGCCATGAAGACACTGGATGAAGTGCCTGCAGCTGGCTGGATCTGGGACCTGTCCATTTAGCTTACACAATGGATCTTCTTCATCTATGAAATATACCAAATTAAGAAGATATCTTCAATGCTTGTCTACACCATTATCATTTGTTTTTAAGCCTGTTTTCATTTTAGAGCAGATATAAGGGTAATATTACTTGAACTTGAATGCCATTATATTTTATTTATTTATATATATATATATACATGCTAAAATATGTAAGCAGAAAGATATGCTTAATTCCGTGTACAAATGTAGCTGTTTTGTGACTACACATCAAACTAATACTTACAAATAGGAATAGACATTGGAATTTTTCTTTGACCACAATCATATGCTACAGCTTCAGCAAATTCACAAGTCTCATTGCGAGGCCAGTAAAGTGTTCCGTCAGAGCATCTCTGTTCTGCTATCATTGTGCCGTTAGAACAGGAGAGGAACTTGGAGCAGTCTTCAGGGTGTGGGTTGTTGCCTGTTTTTTTAACGCACCTTGGGTCACCTTTAGTAATGATAGGAAAATAACAGCAATTCTCCAATAGACCAGCACATATAATTTAATTCAATTTGTGATTGAAAAACTTGTGTATACCTTTATCCTTCAACCAAAAGAAAACATTGTTTACAAATATGCACATTATTTTAAAAAAATTTCTCACATTCTGAAGTTATAAATTATTAGCTAGATGAGGAATCTTTAATATTCAAAAAAACATGTTCATAAGGTATTTAATGAACATGTTAAAGAATAACTTTTCAATGTCAGCCTACTCATCATGGTACTTGGTACAGACAATGTTTTTTTGTTTGATGATGATACTTGAGGAAATCTAATTTTAAACAAAATTCTTCAGGTAAACTCATTCAAAACTAGAATCTTTAGGTAATCTTAACTAAATGGAATCTAATTCAAAACCACTTGATTTTGTTGAAAATAAAATATTTATTCTTAGCAACTTTCACCAATTAGCAAATTAATTTCTTTTATTATGTTGAGGAATGAATGTTTTACGTTTCTCATCATAGACAAATGTATAATACCCGTTATTTTATACCATGGTAGTTAAGAAAGTCTAAAAATGGGTTTTTCTTAAATTTACATTTTTTGTGTGTGGACTATTATTTTAATTTATAATTAATCTTTAATTCAATAATTTAATACAAACATAATTCATTGCATGTGTATAAATGCTACCTAATATGGATGTTTGTGGACGACCATTGCAGTCATCACGATCAGGATCCCACTCCCACACACAGGCTGAGGCAAGCTTAGACCAAACCTGACTGGCATTGCATTGAATGGACTGAATCACTTCCATATCAAAACCACATTGGTGTGCAATTGTGCAATCTACCGTGTCACGGACCTGTTCAATTTTATGCATATTGTCAGAGATAAGAAATTCTATGAAAATCATCTAAACTTATAGTTCCCATAAAAGGGAAATACAATAAACAGCAGTGATGCATATTTTTTTACAAATGTTTAAGAGATAACTTAATAAAAATAATTATCCTCAATTATAAATCTTGGAAAGGTACTGCATAACTTACCCAGAGGCCGGGCTGTATGTTCTCGCAGATAGTTGGATCATAATAATAGTAGTCATAAGAGTAAGATGACATCACAGACAGAAATATGACTAAAAAAACTCTAAGCCACATCTTTTATTATTTTTTTAAAAAGTCTCTTGAGTCACAAATCAAGGAAATCAAGTTGAAGAAATGGTTACAAATTTGGCCTTTATTCTCAGTTCTCATTAGTTAATATTAAATAAGTTAGGTTTGTTCGGTCCATTTAAATTGGTTACAAAAAGAAATAACTGCAGTCTGGTGTGGGAAATGTGGTGCCAAATTACAAATTTTTCTCGTTTCCAGTTTAAATACGGGCCTTCTGTTTGAAGACACCTATGGGAACAAATTAAATGGCTAGCCTCTGGTGATAGTAAACATGGGAAGCACATGGTGAACTGGCCCCAGTTGGGACAACAAGACGTCAGAGCAGACCTTATTTATTTGTAGTCCGTGTTGTTAGGGAACCAAAACAGAGCTCCAGGTCCTGTGATGGAGGTGGTCAGAGTAAATATTGGAAACAAACATGGTCTGGCTGCACCTCCCACACATGGTCTACCTGGGCACACAAGGAGACTGTGGTGATAACACATGTCTATGTGACTTGTCATATGGACAAAGAGAAGGTAATTCACATAATGCCTCGAGTCTGAATTCTGACATGGATATCCTACATCCAAAAAACTACCAGAATCCAATATCCACAATTAAATGCAATCTAAAAGTAATGGCATTTTATTTGTGTATTTTTTGTGTGTAAATCACCTTTTTTGCTCGCATGTGTTAATTTATTTATTATGGGACACGAAGGCACATTTTGTGTAATAAATAATGATGGATCAAGGGCTTTTATAAGTGGATAAGAAGGAAAGAGATGGAGAAAAAAACTCTGTAACATATAAATAATATATAAATAATACATTTTCAGTATGTGTACCTGGAAATTTATTTTATATTTACTTAAACGAATGATTCATGTTTGTAAATTTATAACAGGTAAAAAAATAGGCATAGACCTTTTTTATTTATTATCTCCACAGAAAAAGAGGAACATGGGAAAAAAGTGAAATAATAAGGAAACCTCAATAATGAACAAATTATGCTTGGAGTAGAAAATACAAATATAAAACAGAAAGCACATATAAATTATAATGTGACAACATTTTAGTTATTGAAAATGTAGAGTAGAGCCCTGGAAATTAAAGAATTAAATGATTGTAACCATTGAGCTTTGAAAATATGAGATTGAATCCTCTCCTCAGCAATAAAAGATATAGTCTAACGCTCTATGCAATCATGTGTACAAAATTTATTAGATTAAAAAACATTAATAATAAAATTGAATCTTGCAGCTCTTCATGAGAATAAGAGCTCATAGCTTCAAGCAGAAAAAATTGCATAGACTAGTTAAATATTTATTAATTATATCACAGAAAGGATAAATTTTCAAACATTCCTTTACACCATGCAGACATCTTATGCTTACTCTGACTTGTTTGTAGCCTACATAATGTGTCCAATGCAGCAAGATTATTTAACATATAAATCTCTAATCTAGAATTCTATTGTTCAATAGAACAAAAACTTAATTGCAATGTGGATAGTTGTAGACCACATTTTTTTAATGGTCCATCTGCTTTATATTTTGCTGCTTATACATTTCATCCCACTGTATCCATGTGTGTTTGTTTCAGAAGTAGGTCATTATCGTATGTAATGGAGATGTATAACATATTGCTTATAATAATAAAAGCTGTTGTATTGAATTGAAATAGGGAACACAATATAGCCTCATGTAAATTTTTTTGAATATGAGGAACTACATCTGTTTTGCACTTAATGATATAAATAGCGAAAAATTTAAGGTGTTGAGGGTTTTATCTATTACAAGTAAAATGATTTGATGCATACATATTTTTCATTACAGAGCAAAGTAAATATATTTTGAAAAATCACTTTTTATAACTATTTTATAACATTTAAACACCATTTTCATGAATAACATCATATTGAAAGATCACAAATGTGTGGTCTGGATAGCTAAATTTGACTCCTCTTGATGTTTAAATTTAATTCAACCCACAAGATTGCTATGTAATAAGCCTTTTATTCTATAATAATTAGTAAAGATGAAACAATATTTATTGTTGTATTAATAAATTATGAATTTTGCCCCTCATGTTAATTTGTCTGTTTAATCCAATCATTAACATTTTTTTTGCAATAAAGCTGGGAAACTCTAATATAGATGTTTTATTATATTGCCATAGATTTATTCTAAAATTAACTTACCATTTTGATGTCTGTAGAATAAAGTATTGTTTTCTTTCTCTAAACTGTAAAAATATTTCCAATTAAAAATATATGCAATGTGTAAGTCTCAATATCATCATAATAATGATAAGTGAGTTGTAGGTTAATTTAAAATAATATGTCATTTTGCTTAACATTTTTAATAGGGTTATTTTCTTAGATTTTTCTGTTAAAGACACTTCAAAAGATTCAGCTTAATCATTTTTTTTGTTGTGTGCAATATTAAAATAAAATTCAGCATTTTCTGTTATACTTGTAGAACCAGATGACATCAAGTACCATCACTTTAATCTGTTGGCTATCCATTGCAGATGATGCAGTTGAAAAGAACCCATATCATGATGGTATGAAATAACTGGGAAGAAAACATTGCAGAAATATTTATGTCTCCACAACTTTTTGTTCTTTAGATGGATCCATACTGAGTGGAATGTTGTAGCAGAGCACAAATGTCGGGGTCGAAACGATAGCTCTGTAAAATAAAGACATAAAATCTATTGTAGCTGTGCATTTTTTAAAATTTATTTTCCAGCAATAATGAAATAAAATCTTAAATCATAAAATAATTCTAGGAAGTAAGAATAATTTCTTTTATGAGTTTTCTCAGATATTTAGACACGTTAAAAGAGGTATTTTTTCATGATTTTTTCATAAAACTTATCACCTTTTGTATATTTCAACTCACAAGGATAACACAGTTGGCTGAAATAAAATACCTATGCTTAAAGACAGATGAATTAAAGAGATGAATTCACTAAAATAAACATCCATTGTTTAGTTGATTCAGTTAAATAGGACAAGTTTTTTTTTTTTTCTGATAAACCTTTCTTATTTCAGTGTAATGGAATAAAAGACTAAAGACTTTCTACCTTTGAATAATATGTTTTTGCCAATTCTTTATTTGTCTTTAAACTATGGCCACCAACCAAACACCGGGCATAGATGAAACAAGCCATTGCTATCCCCTTTGCAATATATAATGGTAAGCAGTCAGTCTCTGCAGCAATCAATGGAACATCTTCTTCATTCAGTTGTGCTGTCCTGTATACATGATTTGAAGCAAAGATTAAACATTTTTAATAACCTTATATTAATCAGGTACTAAAAATTGTTTAATGAGTCACAAATATTTGTCAATACTTATCAAGCAAGGTTATTGGAACTATTGTGTCCAAAGTTCTGACTTGTATATAATAAGTAAGAAAATATATTATAATATTTAATTTAAAAAATAACAGAAAAAAAAAAAACTTAAAATTTTTAAAAATATATGTACAGATATATATATATATATATATATATATATAGATATATATATATATATATATATATATAATTTTTTTTTTCTTTTTTTTTTTTTTTTTAATATAAAAAAAATATTATAAAATTTAAAATAAAAAAAAAAAAAAAAAAAAAAAACTTAAAATTTTTAAAAATATATGTACAGATATATATATATATATATATATATATATAGATATATATATATATATATAGATATATAACTTTTTTTTTCTGGCTTCATGTTTTTTGAATAGAATTAAATCAAATGAATTATTTCTATCTTTTGGTTGTCTTAACTACTTCAAAGAAATTTCTTAAATGACCTACTACTAGTTAGTATAATACTCAGCTTACACTCTTCAACAGATTACTCTAGTCACCATAACAGTTTGCTTATTGTTTATTCTAAATAATTTTAAAATAATTTTGTTAGTAATATAATATGTTATTGAATTATCTAATTCCCCCCATGAATTGGAACTAGACACCCAACTGTTCAAAGAATGTTCTGAAAAAACTTACTTATAACCAAGGTCACAGGCTTTTGTGTATAGTTTACTTTTGTAGTAGAATGTCACCAAATTTCCCATGGCATAAACATTTCCTCTTTTTGCAGCTTCTTTCAAGCATATATATGCAGCATCCAGATCTTTTTTAACCCCTATACCATGTAAATACATTACACCTAAAGCCCCTGTTTCAAAAAAAAAGAGAAAAAAATGAAATCTTGTCATTTATGTGTAAAACAAAATTTCATTAATATTCCAAACTTAATTAGAAGTCTATGTATAAATATGTGAGTTTACAAAACAAAATCATATCGATAAAAAAAACAACTTAACATTTTATAGATCTCATAAAAACACTACATTCTCGTTAAAAATACCAGTTATTCCAACAGCTTTGGAATGGGAGTTAGATTTTTTGTCTGGAGTCTGCATCCAAAAATGTCATTCTATTGAGAAAAGATTGCTAAGCACCCACAAATAATGAGAATTAGGGCATCATTGGTACGATGTATTGAATTAGAAAGCAACCTGTCACATGATATTTTAGATTTTTATTGTCATAACCAAACTTTTTCTCAATTTAAAGTTGATTCCAATTATATTTTACAGAAGTTCTACTTATTAATCTATTACTTAACAATTGCTCGATAAAAAATCTCTTTCTTTCCTTCCCTTGAATAATTATAATTTTAAATTTCAAAATCTGACCTTGAGATTCAAGGCTACCATTGCCACAAGCTTCGGAATGCCAGAAAAATGCTTTTTTGAGATCATGGTACTCTGTTCCCAACCTTGAGTAGAACATGCCCAGTACACTTTGAGCTTTGATACTTGCATTGGGATTACCATCGTCAGCTGCCAACAGAAGCCACCTAATTAAATAAATTAAGAAAAATATTTTTTTAAATTTTAAGTTAGAATTGTTGAAATCAAACAATAAAATCAAAACTAATTTTTAAGATCTCTCAGTACATTTTTGACAAAAACTAAGAACACAGCCACTTGATGTAGTAACAGCTCTTCCATAGATTCTTAGAGGAGAAAATTCTTTATTATAAATTTAATTAATTTCCAATTTCAATTGGAAAGAAAAATTAACAAACAATAGGTTTATAAATTAAATTAAAATGATAACTTACTTTTTCTTATCACTGCTTTGGAAAATTAATTGTACGTCAAACAATTACATCCATGCATTTTTCTTTCTGAAAAATATTATTTATATTATATACTACCTTTCTGCTTCTGCATCAGATTGTATTTCTCCAAAGCCTTGGTAATATGCTCGTCCTAAATTGTATCTTGCTGCAGGTACAAGATGCATGACCTGCGAGCTCGTTGCTTCAGCTATTGCCATCATACTATCCATACCATCTTTCTGCAGACAGAAAGGAATCTAAATTTGATTTTGTGAGAACAGACAGCACATTTTCAACTTAAACTTGCAATTGAAAAAAATAATTATATTAATATTTGATTTTTTTTGTGGCTCAAATATTCTACATTCATCAAACAAGAGCTATTGGAATCACTTCAGTGAGTAGTTTAACATTTTTAACATGATCAAGTAAACACTATGGCATTTGCATTTTAAAGTATACAAAATATTTAATTTTTTAAAGAAAAATAAACATCTAAAGTAGTCTGCACTAATGTTGGAGAGTGAAATTAAAATCTATATGTATAAAATTATCCAAGGATGGAGAAATGTTAACTTTTCAAAAATGTGAAGCAAATAAACCAACATAATAAAGAAAGTACACCAAATTTGTCACAGGTATAAATGCATATAAAATTACCTACATTTGAGAAAAATGTTTTGAGGATTTTTAATAAAAATTACTATCTGGTAATACATAATAATAAAAATACCATATTGACTTCTGTTCCAAGACCATCATATTTCATTACTCCATACATAAATAAGGATTGGAAGTCAAAAGTTTTAGCTTGATCAAATAAATCAAGAGCCTCTTCATACTTTTCCTGTGGAAAGAAATGTGACACTAAATCATATTGCAATCACAAATGAAAAATTAATTTTTGCTATCTTTTTCTGTATCTAATAAAAAATCAACCATAAGCCATATTTTAATAAAGGCATATTCTTCAATTATCAGATATTATGAGTTCCTACCTGATAAAAAAAGAGAAGCCCAAGTTGAAAATATGCACTTTTTTCTCCAGCAGTTATTTTTTCCATTAAAATTGCTTCTACTTTCTCAGTTATCTCTTTATCTGTTAGAGATTCATTTCCAGGTGCATCCCGAGCCTCATGAGTGATATCATTAATGATGCATTGTGTTTTAGGAAAACTTATATGTTCTGTTGAGATCTGTTTGGGAAGTTCCATTGCTGAGGGTAAGGAGCAAAAACCATTAAAGAAACATCTGTTGACCTTCATGAATTCTGAATAGTTTAGTAAACAACCAACTAAATGCTTATATTTCATAAGGGATCTCATTTAATGCATACCAAAATGAAGATCATATAAAACTATAGTCTACATAGACCAAGTAAGTATGTCCTTGTAATTTTGAGAGACACCATTTATAAGCCAGCATTTTAGGAATATTTTTAATCTTTTAAGCAAGTTGCCATTATCAAATAATAAATAAATAATCTCTGCCATCTGTAATGGTGTTCATGGGATAACACTGCTCTCAGTGCCTGGGAAAGCTTTTGCATTCATAGGAAGTAGTGGATCATGTGTTAAGGGAGAAACAGTTGGTTTCCATAGTGGACGATTAAGAAATATCATCAAGCTTTGTATAGAATGGAGTTACAAAAATAAGTGCTAATAAATGTAGACTTCGAGAGGTTTTCTATTCTACTTAGGATTTCATTATGAAAAGAGAAATGGCAGACCAGATTGTGGCATCTTTTGGAAATACCAGATTTACCTGATAAAGCATTCAGTGGTTAGATATTAAAAAGGGTAGACATACCTAGTCTGCCCAATCTCCAACCATGGAATCATTGACACAAACAGTAGCATCAATTTGCTTTACAGCACTGGGTAACCCCACCCTAGTGAAGCTACTGGACACATGTGTACAAAGACTTTAAAATATTGAAACAATTTCATAAAATAATTCAATTTATTTAAGATGCAAAAAATATTTTGATTAACTGCCAGCTTCACCAATTCAACTGATGATCATTTTAAGCAACAAGCTTATATATGGGAAGTGAGAATAAAAAACAGACCAGATACTAAATGTATCCATCAAATATTCGCAAAAAAGATAAAAGGGATCAGCTATTAATGATCATACTATTCATACAACTAAAGAAGTCATAACAATTAAATGAAACAGAACAAAGAACCTGGAAATGACATTTACAGTTTACAGAATGCACTTCTGAAGGCACATCAAACACCTACAAAAACATTGCTTAGCTAAAACTTCTGTCTACCAGCTGCCAATTAAGTATTAATAAATACTATCTAAGTAAGAAAAGGCAAAGCAAGAATTTGAAGTAGGTAGGTTGCTAGAATTTGAAAGCTTGAAAGACATTTCTCAAAAAGACTCGGAAAACAATGACAGAAAAGCAAGTGCTTGATAAGAATGTCAAATATTGGGCAATGGTGCAAATGCTCTAACTACACAACCCAGTTACTGGTGGAGTAGAGAGTGAGTAAAAACAATTCAACGAAGAGTAAGAAGACTATGTCACACTAAGTGTAAGCTAAGATTACTAAGAAATGAATTTACTTACTTACTTACTTACTCTGAATAATAAGAATGACACGGTATAAATAATGAACTGTAAACGCAACTGATATATTTTTCGACGTATTTAAGGAATACTAATATATATTTATATAAAATTACCCATTTTGAGTTTTAATGCCTTTAAATTATAAAATATTCCCTAAACAAAGAGCCATCAAATGTTGCTGAAATCTTGTTTTAACAGTAGTTTCCCTTTCCTTCTTATTTATGAGCGTTGCCATAGCATTGATGACATTAAAAAGGGAAATAATTGTTTTTAAAACCCTAGCTTATTTACGAACAACCACTTAATTTAAATCATATTTATTATTATTTTTTTAGAATGAAGATAATATCAGTACTTTTATTTTTTTTAAAATTTATATTTGTATGTATTTAAAACAAGACCTGATAAATAAAATTTGAGTTTTCAAAAATATTTTTTCAATTATCAAATATCGATTTTTAAAATAAAAAATACTTAAAAATCATGATTATTTATTTTTTAAAAATCTGCTACTGTTAAAATTGAAACAATACATTTAAATATGAATAAATTATTGTCTAATTCCATATAATCGATATTTTTCGGGAGTGAACATTTTCAGCGTTTTATTAAAATATATTTTATTTTGGGGTTACTTTTATTACTTTAAAAAAGCCACCGCTACCTTGTGACTGCAAACCCATTGCCAATATCAATAATATTTAAAAGGATGTCGCATCAAATAATGGCTCAACTAACGCCACACCTACCTTAGATTTAGTTAACTGTCGCCTTACAAATCTGTTATTATGTCCTAAACCTTAGAAATCTTGATGATATACATAATCATAAGTTTAGGTCCCAAGCCCAAACCTTTGATTTTGATTACATGTATTTGGGTTTCTTAAAGTAAAGCCTTTTTTTGCATTGTCAGGCACTGCTTCACCAATTTTATTTACCATGTATTAAAAATTATTTAAGTACAAGAAAATAATAGAAATAATCATGCTGTCAAAGTTTCATTTACTCTCTTACTAGTCCAGTGGTTCTCAAACTTTTAAAGGATTTCTTGCATGACGGTCTCTTTACAATTTTGTTAAATGGTTGTGGACTCTTTACAATTAGGCCTAATTATAATTATCATACAGTCTACTGTTAACAAACTTTTTTTGATAAATAAGTTTATTTTAAAAAATGGCAAAAATTTGTCATCAAGTGTATATTTAATGAGATTGGTGCATCCGCTTTGCCTTAATTAATCAGTTCTTCTAGGTTTGGCTTTGTTTTGGCCAGTTGAACTCCTTTGTTCTTTTCGCGTCCAATCTGTTTCGGGATTTTGTTTTGATATCAAGTATTTTGGAACTAGCTGTCTTACACTCATAGGTGGTTGCAAAGTATTTGGTATATTCTTATAGATCATAAAAACAAAAATGAGCAATTTATTTGCTAAGAAATGATGCATGTTGTTTCATCACATGAAGGATATTGGCATCGACGTAAATCTCACTTTCGTCAATATGTGTTTAGCTTTGGAAAATGAGGCAAAGCTCTTTTTCTCTAGCTTTACATCCCATTGTTCACGCTCCACTTTATTGGAGAGCATTATAATCAAATAAAAAGTTAACAATTAAAAACTAGATGACAAATGCTAATTAATTAAGATAATACAACATCAAAAATAGAAAATGCAATTTTACCAAGGAAATAACTAGATGGATACGATAGGCTGTTAGGCATAAGAAAGATGGAGATAGTTAAAAAAAATTAAGTTAGCACGGAGAGTTTGGAGATGTATCCCATAGCCAACCCAATGACTGCCAATGTCTCATCCTCTGGTTAGGTCTAACTTAAGCTCTTAGCTTCTAAAAAAATTGACAGGCCGTCTGTTGGAGATCTGAGAGATCAGATTGTGAGTCAAAGAAAAAAAATTGAAAGAAAGAATCCTTACTCCAAAAGCAACGTGTAGACTTTTTATGAATGTAACTCATTTGACACATCAACATAATCCCTGTTATATTTGGTTAAAATGAATCACGTATGCCTACTGGTTTCTCTTTATTTATAACCTCAAAAAGATCTAGTATTTATTTATAAAAATTTAATATATATTTAATACAAAAATCATACTCGAGTTAAACAAAATAGTTTAAATCATTAATATTAATGCTAAGTCTAAATTTGATTTTTACTGTTAAATAAATCAAAACATGTTGTAAAGAAAACAATATTTATAACATGCGTCACATCTAAAATAGCAGAAGTTCAAAAATTTAAATAAAAATTATACGTACTTTGTAAATTATAAAATTTTGGATGAAATAATGCACCTGACTGATTTTCTTTGTTTTACTTCTATTAATAATTTGATTTCATTAAAAAAATATACTTATCTAGGAGGTTTTATATCTTTTTCTTGAACTCGGTAATAAGAGTGACCACCACAATAATAAGAAAAAACACACCAAACACAAATGTAAATAATATTCATAATTTAGTAAGGCAGTAAGGCATCATATGATTATATTCTGAAAAAACTGATATTATTACTGGGAAATATTAAATTTAATTATAATTGTATATAATATAATAGATCTATGTCATGTACATATATATATAAATATATATTATATATATATGTTTGCATCAAGTTAGTAGAGTTTAATTTAAAAAAAAAAAGACTAGCCCTGGCTGCCAAACTTAAATAATTTAATAATATAGTCATGAGTCATAGTTATTTGTTATTTAATATTTAAATACTGTCTTATTTCGAGCCTAAACTGAGAGATAGCATAGGCAGTGTAGTCAGTTTCCAACTGTGTAGTAGTAGGCCATAACTGCTGTTCTGACTGTACTCTGTCCTGTTTGAGTGTATAATTTATAATGTAGAATGTGTACCGTAGTCAAATGTAGGTCTACTGTCCAACTTTTTTGACTCCTTGATGAGCCAAAAAACATTTTTGCGAAACTGAATTTTTTTATTTTTTTAAATTTTTTTTTTTGTCCGTCACAATGTGACGATGGAGTGGGCTTCGTAGGACGAAATCCACATAGCCTGGGATTATTATACTTGAAGGATTATAAGCTGGTTCCCAACAGCAAATCGCCTCTCTCCACGCCGCTGGGTAACCCAAGGGAACATCATTGGATGATACAGCTTGGCACCAGTGACGTCGCAGGAGTTGTCGGAATGTTTCATTGTATCAATGTTATCCGCCTTTCGGGACTCCATCTCCGGGTTTGATTTCAGAGTTTCCTTCTTGCCGTCCAAGGTTAACGAGTCCCATCTACCCGTCTACCCGGGGTGCTGGTGGTGTTTTTGCTCTAGCTGGAATTGAACTCCAGACCACCAACTTGAGATTTGCTCAGTTTAGACCACTCAGCCACCCAGCACCCTATAAAAACTGAAAATAAAATCTTAAAAAGAATTATTTTATTTTACTTTTAAGAAAACTATTGACAATTAGTAATTACTTCTCAATCTTACCTTATGCTGATTATGCCTTATGCATAAAAGAATAATAATTAAAGGACTGCATTCAAGCCTAGTAAATGAAATAGCAAAAAGGAGGTATGTGGAAGCTTGAATTAGAGAACGGGACAAAAAGATTAGGACATTTCGCCGACAACAATGGATATTTCTTGAGTGGTTCTCTGTGCTCTGTTCTTTGTGGTATCTTCGTCTTCATTTGTCCAAACAGCTGCTACATGTGCATTGGATGCACAGGAAAGCCCCATCTGTGTGTTAAGGAGTGCTTCAGAAAGGACCACACAGAAAGAAATTTGTACTAAAGTAAAATAGTTAGTAAATAATGTGTTTGACATTTGTAAAAATATGAAAAGAAAGAAAGCAGAATAGGATACGAGCTTCACAGACAATGTAGTACTAATAGTATACAAGCTACACAGACCATATAGTAGTAAAAGGATACAAGCTACACAGACCGTATAGTAGTAATAGGATAGAAGCTACACAGACCATGTAGTAGTCAAAGGATACGAGCTACACAGACCATATAGTAGTCTGATAGATCCAGATCCAATACACCAACCAGAAAAGCACTTGGCTTTTTAGAATTATTTGTTGACAGTCTCAGACTAAAATCAACTACAGAAAAAGTCTTAATACTTCTAGCACAGTTGATGTAGTTGAAAAAGTTGAGAGAATGTTATCATTAGGGTAGATTTGGTAGCTGTTGCTGTATGCAGGCTCAGGTGCATGAAGCTGTTTAATTGAATGTAAGGGTCATCTGAGAGACTTTCACTTTCAGGAACATTACTGCACATTTTATCGATGGGTAAAAAAACAGAAAAAAAACTCCTGCAATATTAATCAAATTATCAAGTTCAGTTCTTGCGTAATAGTGAACCCGAAACCATAAATGATATAATATGTATAGAAGTCTATGTATATTAAATCACCCAAGCTTTTACTAATATTTAGCATTAGGGCTTCCCACTTATCATGACCTATGCTTATCATACTAGCATTGGCAGAGCAGTTATTGAGAAAACAGTATTAACAATAATATAATAATACATTATTTCGCAATGTTATATAATATTAAATAAAGAAATATTTATAATATGAGGCACATTTTTCTTTTCCCCTTTCAGGTTTCATTCAAAGCCCAGAAACTTCTGAAGTTGAAGGGTCTTAATTTCAAATAATGTAGGTTTGCCATTGTTTTAAAAAAAATAACTTTTTATTTTATAAAATTTAAAAAAAAATTGCATTAAAAAACCTTGGGATTATTAAGTCATCTTTTAAAGATGATTGACAACCATAACAAAAAAAATATAGGCTTAAATTGGAGTGGTACGATTTTTGGAAAAAAAATACTAAAAGGAATATTATCTAAAAGTCTTCAGTCTATGAATTTAATTGAAATATTTCTGTTATGCTCCAAGTCAAGCATTTTCATTGAAAATTACAAAAGCATTTTACTATGAGCATTTTTTCCAGATACCTACTATGAAGAAAGCAATGTTTCACAAATTTACTAACTTTCTTCAACAAGCTGTTGAAACGGTAAATGGTTTTTGTAAAGTTGTGTTTTCATTAAACTTGTTGAAATTTGACAACTATGTCAATAAATGAATTTGATACAGTTTTAAATGAATTTTAAAAAATTTCACATTTTATGCAAAGAAATGTTCACATTTTAATCTTAACATTCTTTCTCATAAATTTACCCAATGGCAACTTAGATATAAATTTATTAAAAT